ACAGACACATCTAACATGTCAGACAATGTCACCAACCCACTTGGAGTCAACGAGAGGAATGATTGGCTCATATTTATCAAAATCTTCAGTTTTAAAATTGAAGCAGTGTTCAGTGATGTTCTAAATTCGGAAAGAATTTGATTACATTTTCAAAAACCGAGTGACAGAAGATGAGCGAAGTTTTCTTTCTATCCTTGGCTTAGCATCCAGCTGCTTCATTCCCTCCGTTGACCCAAAGTGTGCATGTTTATAAGTTTCAAGATGGCTGTCAGGGCTGCCAGAAGATTTATCACAAAATCATAATTGGGTATGGCCGTGACTTTACAGTTCTAATTACTGTTTATATTCAAGAAAGATCATACTCATCAATCAGTAATTCACAGTAGTTTTTATTGAAAGTTAATTTCTACTTTACATTTCAAAAAATGAAATATAGTGAGATCTTTTTTACAATACCTTTGTAACAAAGACTTCCACATACCAAAAAAAAAAGATAATGTTCCAGTGAGACTTTAATTTTTATGTAAAGAACTGCCACCTAACAATGTTTTTTTTTATTTTCTTTACATTGGACTGCATGACTGTCTCTGGCATTTTTTTTTTGGTAAATTTTGATACATGAGTTATGATCTTATGTGCTCTAAATTCTTGTATGAGACTAGTGCATTTTATTACCTCTGCTGGTAGCCCTGAACAGTTGTTGAGTAAATGCACATGGGTTGGTGCAATAATTGACATGTCAGTGGGTCTGTCTTGTCTGCAGCTGCTACCATGGTGCTGGTGGAGTTGGAATTGGTGGGACAGAGATGGACTACTCTTACGTAGAACTGATGGGCAATGTTGAGTTACCAGCTCTTGATGAAGATCCAATTGATCTCAATGGCTTCAGCAGTTTTTCAGACTTCATGCAGTCGTATAAACAACCGTGAAGAGTTGTGTGGTATGTGTAAGGCAGGATGGTAAAACAGAAGAATTGCTGAATCTGTATGGTAAGTTGGCCGACATGAAACTGGCTTAGATTGCACTGCACTTACCTTTGTACATCTGGAATTTCTTCCTATTGTTATAAAAACAATTTTTTTTTATCATGATCACTGAATGGAATCAGTATTTTAGAAATGCAAAATGTTACATTTGACATTAGAAAATTTTGTAGTACTTTCTTAAAGATTATCCAAGGTAAATTTGGCTAATTTTAAGCTTTATTACACTTCTTAATGTTGGATAAGGATTCAAGACACACAGTATAGTTTTTAGAACCACTTTAATGCTTGAGCAGGTTTGTACAGATAAAATTTTCCTCTCTTGTCAGTAGACCTTGCCTTTGTATGCAGTATTCCGTATGGTTCTTGAATTTGTAAATTGGTCGAAAAATTCCATTCTATTCACATGGCTTCAAGGTAACTTGCACCATAATTGAGATCACTGAAATATGTTTTGTGCAGACTAATATTGTAATTTTTAATTTATTTTGAGACTGAAAATATGTGTGTTGATTTTTAAAATTTTAATACCATAAGTAGGCCTAGAAACAAGTGTTTTGTAGGTTTATGTAAACAAAATAAATTTTGATCAGTATAATAAAGTAATATAATCTTGGCGGTTACATACAATGATTGCTGGTTATCAGGGTTCAAACAGGAAATCATTCCTGTAGTTAGAATTAATGATTGGAGTTTACTGGATACCATTAATTTAAATCAGGTATTCTGTATATTGGTAAGAGTTACTGTACATGTTACCAGAAATGTGCAAGATGAATATCAGCATATTGCATCCTTTTACAAATATTCTGAGACGAGTGTTTCTCATTTATGTACAGTATACATCCAGTTATCCATGGTAATGAAAGGGAAAGGATGCATAAATAATAAAGACCATGGATAATATCAATTTTTGAGTGTGATTGGGAGATCATGAAGATCGTTGAATCTAGAGGTGCAGAAATAAACACATAATATCCAATTTGTTTATCTTGAAAACTGTAATACTTTTTCAAAAAGCATATTGAACATAGAAAATGTATTATTTTTCTCCATGACTCTTGTTTGAGGCATTTTTTGCTCTGATAAATATTCAGCGAGTTACATATGAGGTGTGCACAGAACTGCATGCAGGCCTTTATGTAAAGTACTTGTTAAAATTGTCTGATATAAATAAAAACGAAAATTATTTATCATCTCTTAGAATTCATAAACATCAAATTTCATGAAACCTGTATAGTGGTTCTCCAGTTTGCGCATGTGTTCAGACAGGCGCCCTGACTAAACATAATAGGCACTCTAGGGTTTAGAATGCTTCAGAAGGCTCATTGGTAATATGCAAACTGGATAATATCTGAAGAAAGCAGTCTTCTGGGATTTGGCACCGTGTATATGTGGTGTTAACCGACGTTTCGGAGGAACGTATCGCCCCCATCTTCAGGGTAGAAGAAAAAGTATAAGAAATCTGCAAGCGACAACACCGTGAGAAACGGTAAATCTCACGGTGTTGTCGCTTGCAGATTTCTTATACTACTTTTTCTTCTACCCTGAAGATGGGGGCGATACGTTCCTCCGAAACGTCGGTTAACACCACATATACACGGTGCCAAATCCCAGAAGACTGCTTTCTTCATAGTCACCGCCGTGAAAGCCTCAAATCTTACATGGATAATATCTGCACTGATAATTTGGAGTATACTGTGTATATATTTGATCAAATTGCATAGTTGAATGAAAGTAATGCAAGAGAGGGAATCTTTTGTTGATAATTATAGGCTTCTGTCCATTACTGAACTACAATGAATGCTTTGATGTGGCATCAGAGATTAACATTTTGTACTTGACCTTGACATCCTAACAGTAAGTGGACATAAAAGTAATGTTCTTTTCTAAAATATATATATGAGTTTCAGCTATAGTATACAGTTTCAAAATGCTATTCAGGCAGTCATTAGAGTTCACTTACATTGAATGGTGTGAAACTGAAATACTGTATGTAATTTTATTCCTCTTGAGAAGTAAAAAATAAAAGTTATGGAGAATGTATTTTTCTGTGGATTGGCTACATCTCCCATAATGAGTATCTCAGTTTCATAGTATGATGATAATGTTCTTCTGTCCCACTTTATACCTGACTAAGAGGTGCTCAGCAAGAATGATATAAAACAGTAGCTACTGACTGACATATCTGGAAGTTCAGGTTCCACAAAAATACTTCAGAAAAATTTATACCTTGCAATATTAAGAGGAAGGGCAGAATAATTACAGAAAGTGCCATATATCACAAGTTGAAAGTCTCCCGATAGAGGTAGAAACATGAGGTATCACTCAACCAATAGCTTTAGTTTACCATTGATTATTTAGGGTTAGTAAGATGATGCTGGATGACCTTGGGGACAGAAGAGGATACTGTCATTTGAAGGAGAAAGTTCTAGATCTCATTAAGTGGAAGAATTGTTTTGGAAGAGACTGTGGACCTGTCGTCTGACAGATTACTGATGATGATGAGTGCAGGGTTAAATTGTTGACAGTTTATCACATATATGAAATGAAGCTTTCATGGCAACTGTATGCTGTGAAGCCTAATTGGATGATCAGCCATGTGTAGATGGCATTAATATCCAGTGTTTTGGAGACTGTCTCAGTCTCCACCGTCAGTTTATGTGATGAGTTACATGTCCACATGTTGTATTGATACCCAAAGAGCCTTGTGACAATATAAAAATTGTCATCAAAATTACCAGGCCTTAATATACTGGCATTAGATAGCATACTGTTAATTTCATATTTATGGTAAAATTAAAGTACAGAAATATAGAGATGATACCATCAGAAATGTTATTTGGCTAGACTTTTACAGAAGTTCCAGTATCTTGTAGTACATCAGCATGTGTAGGGGTAAGAGAATTATGGCTGTGGACAATTTTTTAATGATTTCCATTCTCTCCAAGCAAATGTTATTGTTCTGTCATGTGGCAGAAAGATATAGAATGGTAAACTATAAAAGTTAACAAGAAAAAACTTGACCTTCTTAGGAAAAATCTCAGCTCATAAGCTTCCATTTTCTTACTTTTATCTCTGAGTCAGAACTTGTGTCATGTTTGTCCTCAGCCAGTTTTTAGTGTTTAATGCATAGTGTTTGTTTTTCTTGAAGAACCAGTTTCACTCTTTGGGGTAATCAAAATACAGATTTAAAGACAGGTTCACCATTATCTTACCACAGGAATACCACATTAGCATCTGTTGAAAATATTGCCATATTGTGGTGGTCACTTACTTTCAGTCTGATTACCCATGAAAGTTTAATGTATAGTTTCACTGAACCGAAATTCTTGTAAAGTATGAATGTTACTGTCTTATGAGATGTGACTACATGTCATTTGGTAGTTACCAACATTTTGTAGGAACCAACTGCTTCTTTCTTCAGGGAAGGTTCCAATTCTCCCCTTCCTTTGTCAGTGCCACTTTGCTTCCATGCTCAGCTTACTCTTCTACCTGGAGATGAAGGCAGCAGGTTACTATAAAATGTGCATACCCATCTACCAAACTTCATGGAGTCAGATGTCAGAAGACAGTAATTTTCATAGTCACTGTTGTGGAAACATAAAATGTCACGCTTGTAAGTACAGCTTGGTGTACATACAGCAAATCATTTTCATTCCTTGTGAGATATGGTTGTACCTCAAGCCTTTGGTTGAGTGAATGGTATCTTAGATGGGGCTGTATTGATTTCAGAAGCAGGGCTGTGAGAGAACTGATTCCCCAGTATTTTATATGTTTTGATAATGGGGAAAATGTAACTGGCCACTTAGTAGTTGGGTGGGAACCAGGTCTTTGTTAGTAGCTTGTAAATATGCATTAGTAGACAATACCTACTTTTTATCCACATTTATTTTATGTATGTGTGGAATCGGTTGTCTTTTATTCATGTGTTTTTAAATGTACCTACTGAAGATTTATCGTAACTCAGCGTTTTATTGGAGCAGTTTTTAATTTTATATATCTTTGAATGTATCATTTGTGAGAATAAGAATTGTGATTTCATGTTTGTAGATTGTTTTTTCTCTCTGTCTTTGCCTTAAGTAAGAGTACCTAACCATTCTAATATAAACTTCAATTATAAAATTCTGCAGTTGCCTTTAGGCTTTTGTTAGTGTAGCCTTTGTATAACAGTGCCTCAGTTTTTGTTAATGTCACACCAGTTGTTGGGTCTGAACTTAACAGCTGTGGTTGTTGTTCTTTGATGTTGATTTGTTGCCTCCTGTTGGAAATATTGTCACAGCGGGTTGCTTCCTGTTCGTTCCCGCTGAATGGGACGAACGTAACATTCGAAGTGCTGTAAATACAATTCTTTGTTTTAAGAGAAATGAATCTTGTTAGTAATATTTAGAGTTTATGACAATATGCAGAATGTCATATAGAAAAAATATGCTGGGATATTGTTGATATCTGTTGTAATTATTAAATACATAGTAATTAAGTTTTTTTTTTTTGTTGTTGTTGCAGATTTGAGTTTCCGTATTGTCTGAATACTGTATAGCAGTGTAGTACCTAATGAGGGTTCTAATTTGTACCAATTGTGAAATGGTGGAATGAATATCAATACATCAAACATGCTGATCGATCCTCTCCCAATTTCCTTTCATGTTGGAAATGTGCGTATTCCAGTTTTGTCATGTTGACTGTGGTAAATTAGCCTAATCCCTTGAAGCATGAAATTTCACAAAATAATACATGAAAAAACTTCCCAAAAGAACTCTCTGTTGGGACGCAAGAAGCAAAGTGGGTTAAATGATCCCAAATACAGCTATTGGAAACCAACCAACCAACCAATTCAGTTCCTGTCATACAGGAAACACACTTTGTCTTCATTGCAAAGGTTAATTGGTTATTGCTGTTTAGGAATGGAATCGCTGTTTATTCTGAGAATCGTATGAAGCACATAAATACAATGTGTAGGCTGAAAAGAAAGGTACTTTTAAAGTGAAGGTGGATGGTGTATACAGTTATTAGGATGTAAAGGGTCAAACATGTATAATCTTCAAGGCTTGTACAGTTGCCTCTGAATTTATGTCTTGGGGGGAGGGGGTGCATATGTAGGATTCACAAATCAGGAATGTATTTGCACTAAGAAGAGTACTGTTACTAGAACAAGGATTCTCTGATTATTGCAAATGTACCATCCCATTATATAAACAAAATGTGTACTGCTTATTTTCCATCCCTGCATGTTGAATGTTCTTGCCATATTTACGTTGCACAAATTTACTCATGAAAATAGAAGATTTGGCACAATAGCTAATAGAATTATATTTACACCCATAAGAGGCCATTACCCTCTTTTGTCTCATATTTTGATATACTTTCATCATAGCAATAGTTTGTCAACCATTGTTGTGTCATAATAGTATAACAGATAATCTGGATTGAGATAATCCTCTTCCATGCCCTCTTCCACTTGATATGGAGCATGTATTTCATCTTTTTAAACCAAATATTTTAGTGGACAACTGGAGTCTCTATGTAGAACTAAGAAGTTTAAGAGAATAGACCATTACAGAGAGGGTTGTTTTAAAAAGTGTCAGAATTATTATGGAAGAGTTAAATCTGTATTTATAGAATTTCAGAATTATGATAATGTTGCATATTGGGCTTCTGAGCAGTTTAATTGTAATGAAGCATCTCATTTCTGTTCATATATAGTTTTGAACAGTTTTGCAGTTTGACATAGCAAGATTCCATTCTGTGATTGGTGCAGAAACTCTTATGCAGCTGAGAACTGTAATGAATAATGACTTCTACAGTTTTAATATTTCGTTAGTTTTACTGTTAATGGAATTTTATGAACTATGACAATGCTGAATTGCATGTTATTATGAAACATGAACTACCACAGTTTTCAATCCTTAGGGATTGAAAATAATTTTGACGGTGTTTTAATAGGTATTCTTTCACCACATATGTTTTGGCTGCAGTATATATATTTGAAGATCTTTAAAGAACCTTATATACACACTCATGTCATTGTCATTTATGTTAAATTATTTGGTAAGTTACAATATCCCAGAATTTGTATGTGGTAGGAAAGAAGCCAGTTTGCTCACATGGTGTAGAAAGTATATATAGTTGCTTACTGAGTTCTTGATTGTTTCTGTGTTGTGCTTAAACTTGTCACCAGATTAAAGGAAATAGTACTATAAAGTCTCCAAAACTAAACGTATCATGATGTCACTAGTATGGCATAGAATTACTATCCAGGTGGTATTCAAAGAATAATATTGATACCATCACCAGCATGAATAGAATTCATGTCCTTCAGTTCTGTGATACCATGTAGTACACATCTCTGTAGCAACATCAGTTCTCCTTTTGACTGAAGGGATTAAAAAGATGTGGGTATGAGTTTGTTTGTGTTCTTGTTTCTGCAGGCTGTAGCAATTGATGATTGTTGATGTAACAACAGTAATGTACAAGTTGTTTTGTAGTACATGAGCTCTTGGATACACAAAAATGAGAGGCATAATTATAAATGGTCCAGTGTTGTGGAAACGGAACTCAACACATGGCCTTATCTCAGCCACAACACTTGATATGCTGAGCTCTGCTTACCTCCCAACATCTTTTCCGGCAGTGAAGGTACTTCACATCTCAGTGCCATAGCTCACCGAACTTACTTCCATTTAGAACTGAAATGTATGGATAACGTCCCTACAGTTGGTTTTAAAAGGATATTCCTTATAAATGGAAGAATATGAATTCTTAAATTGTGTTGTAGAATATTGTAGCATGAGAACTAGTTCGCTTGTGGACTAAAATCACGGAGTTTGTCTTTGTTTTTGAGAACATTTTACAGATTTTGCGTAAGTCAAGACCTAAGCTGCCGGAAGTAATATTTGAAATTATTTTTAGCAGGCCATCTTCCGACTTGAAATATCATATTTAAAATATTTTGTAGCCTTATGCCTCATTAAGGAAGTTAGTGTTAAAAGGGGAGGGTGGAAGGAGTTCTACATGCATTGAAAACTTGAAATAATTGAAAATGGAAGTGAATAATAAATATAAGGTTTGGTTGTTCATAAAATAGGTATTCAAAATCATAAGGCATTGAAAGTAATTATGATACAGTTTTGTTTATTATTTACACATACTTCAGACTTTTTAAATTGATGCTTAAAAATTAAAAAAACAAGACAGTTTTGGCTACAGTAACAGTGAATGTAGAGGTGTAAAAGGGGGGGGGGATTCCTCCTTGGTATATTAAACATATTAATAATTCATAATGAACTTGTCCCAGTGCCACCACACAATGAAGGCACGTGGGGCGGAGTGGGAATTTGTTGGAAGTGATTACATGAAACAGAATTTTGGTGAAGGGGATAAAGCCATTAATTTCCCTACAGCATAATTGCATCAATTATATGGTTTCCATGTAAATATTTGTGAAATGTTATTCTCTTTGTCTTGGTGGCAAGATTATCCATGTGCAATCAGAGAAATTCCAGTTTAAACTGGTGTCTTCTTTCTTTCAACCAGAAAATAATTTTTAAAGATATGTATGATGCAATATTAGATTATAAGAATGCTATATAATGGAAGAATATTGCATTGTCTGAGAAAGAAATCTTAGTACAAATAACTTGTTAAAAATGTAGGAGAAAATCTGTAACAATGTTAGTTCTTAACAATACTATGCCATTTTATAATTAGAGCAGAATTCGTGCTTTAGCTGTTTCTTTTCTTCCACATCACTGTTTGCAGAAAATATGTGCATACATGCAATGTGCTAAATAAATGTTTCATATTATTATAGGATATGTTAATAAAATCTTATATAGTCTTTGTTTACAATAACAGTCCCATTAATTTTGAGTTGAATTATTATCATAGAAGAAAATTGAAACCTTAGACCCAATTGTGGGCTGCTTTACCTTCCAGTTTTATTATTCCTTCTATTATCATGGGCTGTTCACAGCCTTTCCCAGGTTGCTTATAGGTCTGAATATCCCTTCAGGGTTTCAGCTTTGAGAAAAACTGAAGAGACTTGAAGAAAAACTTGTTCTGTTACCACTTAATTCACCACGATTGTTGTATAAAGAAAGAAATTGATTAAAATTAGATAAGTACATCATAACGTTTTTGTTATAAAAAGGATCAAGTTGGAACAAGTGATGTTACTAAAACATAGTGCTTTCCAGTCACTGGCAAGAAATATCAAGTTGCCAAGTATGCTGCCTGAACATCTGAAGATGTTTCTTCTCCTGAAAAATGATGTTATGACTTAACTTTCTCTTCCATCTTCATAGTACGCATCCTGTTGTGTCTTAATGTTTGATACATATATATATACACTACAGAGAAGGGATTGTAATATAAAGGCATTTTTTAATAATATCATGTTGAAATTATTGTGGTGTTAAAATTAAGCTTATAAATTTGGATTGTGAGGATGTGAGCGGGAATAGGATTATGTTAAGTGGTTGGTTGAAATGTTAGTGGTGTTGAATCTTAAGGGATAATAATAATAATAACTTGCATCATAGAACAGTATATTTTACACAGTACACAGGGCAATATTTACACTAACCATTATTTTGTATCGGCTAAAAAAGTTCTACAAATATGAAAATAGATTTCAGTTTTTGTATGGCGAAATGTGTTACTGGAAATCCCATTCTTCTTAATAATTACATTTGATTAAAGATCACATTGCCCAGGGACAGAAAGTGCATTGTATTCATATTTACGTTTGTGATGTCTTATAGTTTTCTTCCATTTCCTAACTACAGCATACTTCTGATGTGGCTGCATGAATAATGACATTGATATCTCTAGAAATATACTGTCATGACACCTATAGAAGTTGTTTCAGTTTTATTCAGTGCAGCATGATATGTTTACTGTTATGTGACAAGATCTGTCTACTGATTGGCGGTGACAAGTCCAGCTGGACCGCGGCCTATTCGGGTGCCACCCATGCTGGCCTGTAGTGGGGTGAAACCTAGCTCCTCTTTTGGTATGCCATATTGCTGAAGCTTCCCTTCATATGTCTGGAGAAGGTCATCATGTGCCTTGCACACCCTTGCCAACTCGTACTGCAGATCTTGGAGGGCAGCATTTTTCCGACACAACAGCTCCTGTAATGTGCGAGTCACTGGTGATTATGCTTCCTTCACTAATTACATTGTCTTAAGTGTACCCTGTCATATGCATCTTGGCTCACAGTTTTGGGGATAAAATTCTGTCACGTTAGATTTGGGGTTCTTGTGCCAGTGACAAAGATTACTGGCTTCTGGGATGTGACACCTTTGGGTCTGGTAAATATCATGTTTCAGAAGAGCCTGCTGCCTCTATCTTCAGGGTAGACAAATAAGGCTTACTTTTCTACCCTGAAGATGGAGGCAGCAGGTTAGTTAGTTAGTTATTTTAGAGAGGGTGGGTTTCCCCATGCACCGCAACCAGTTTGATCTATTGTGCTTTATGATATTCTACCAGTCTCTATACCCTACTGATAAATAGTGCGTACCATCAGTCCCGCCGAGCAAGCGAGTTCAGCCACTTGCTTAGTGGTATCTAAAATGGTTCCCCCATCTATCAGAGGCCTTAGAGACTACTGTTGGGTGGGAAACGTCCTGGAATTTGGCTCAGTGATCCCCTTTGAGGATATGAGGTTCTTTTACGTGCCGTAAAATTATGACACGGGACACACAGCTTAAAAGTCCCTCTCGGAGGACTTGTTCCCTGAATTTTTCCGCCCTTAAAAATTCCACGACCTCCGCCGGGTATTTGAACCCGCGTACCACTAGTCATGAGGTGGGAACGTTACCTCTAGACTACGGAGGCCGCTGAGGCAGCAGGTTACTCTGAAACATTGGTGTCACACCCCAGATGACCATAATCTTCTCTCACATATTTGTGAATACCAGGTGGCAATAGTTCATTCATTGTTTTATTCTGTTCTGTGTAACATTTAGCATGAGAACTACAAAGTTGAGACAGTCATCTTTAGGCACACTGGTGACAGACTTGTTAAAACTATTGTACTCTTCTGGAAGAGTACTTGTTAAAGCAAATATTTTGTGTTCTGTAAAATTTTGTTTTGAAATGTACAAAATGGTGTGCAAAATTTGTATAGAACCGTTTGTAAACACCATATACCAAATATTTTTGCGAACAGTTGTCTGAAGAGTAAATACTAAAATAAACAGTACTTCTGCAATAGACTATTTAGGAGACAGGCGGCAGTGGGTATATATAGAAGACAGTTTTGGTACCATGTTCAGTCAGTGAACTGTCAACAGAAGAGGCTTTTCTAGGATAGTGGATGGGTGAAATCATTTTTAACTATATTAGTGATATTTGGAAGAACTTTTTATCATCACGTCACCAGAAAATTTAAAATCAAACAAGAAAAAGGTGGATTTGAGGTTCTCACAGCAGTGACTGAAGAGTACAATTGAGGTTGTAACACCATGTAGTTTGGTAGAATTATACCAACATTCCTCTGAAACATTGGTGGACTTTACTGAACTACGTGGTGTTATGGGCTAAGTTCTCACAGTGGCGGGTGTGAAGAATTCTGTCTTCTGGAATATAATGCCATGTAGTGTGATGAAAGTCAACTTACATTTTGGAGGAACATGTTGCTTCCATCTTCAGCTTTGAAGAGTAAGCCAAGCAAGAAGCAAGCGGATCCTTCAAAATGCTGGTCGACTTTAACAGACTACACAATGTTATATCCAAGAAGATAAAACTCTTTGTTAGAGATACTTCTGCAAGAACATTTGGAACCATTTATTACCAGTGATTAATACTCTGATCTTGCTAAAAGTCTGTTTTATTTATTTTGTAAAACCTCCAATGTTTTCCTTAGAATCAGGTGTTGTGCTTTGTAGCTTATACACCACAGTGTTTCTTTGCTAAATATCTGTCAGATTAAGGGAGCAACTTCATTCATTTCTTGATGGAAGGAATCAGATTGTGTGCTTTCGCACGTCACACTTGAAAAGAAGAAGAGAATCCAGTTCTGTTAGTACTGTATATTACATCAGTTTTACTAGATTGTACCTCAAGTTTCTTGTTAACAGTGGTCATGGCTGTTGGATCTAGATGAGCTGCTGCTAAAACCTCGTTGATTTGAGCTTCTTTCTGCTCTAGTAGATCATTCAGTGCTGCCAGTTTCTTCTCAAGTAAGACATTCTTGAGCCCTGCCTTTTGCTGCAGTTCTAATATTGCAGTTACAAATCGATTGTGTAGCTCATCTCGTTCTTGTTGCAACTGAAACAGTTCATACATTCAAGATACTCAAAGAACTAATGAAATATGAAAATCTGTATATCCCACTGAGATATTTATTTAAAAAATGTGTAGTTATCAACCAAACAAGTAATGGAAGACCCTGAAATTGCTGCTCCTCTTGAAAAATATTAAATGCTTATTAAATACACTCATTAAAAATCTTTTCAAAATCCCTTTAAGATTGTGAATTACTTTTTGTACTGCTTCTATCTCATTTACTGTTTTCCATTAATACAATTTTCCATGCCTGAAGAGTGTTACTTCTTTGGATGAGTTTTGATTATTTAATCTTACTATTTTTTTCTGGCTTTTCATATACTTCCATAACCCAGAGTTGCCTAGCATTTCAGTCCATGGCTTTCATACATTACCATTTTAAATTCTAGTAGCTACTGATTATTAATTTTTCACTTTTATTGGGCAGTGTAAATTATTACTTGTTTTTGCCTCTGGTCATCCATTATTCTTTCTGTGTGCCCATACTGCTTAACCATTGTTTTCTCATTGAAAACAGACGACTTTATTGAAATTAACATTAAGGTCAGGTAAATTAATATCTGCTCACCTTTTCAAATCGGAGTTCCAGGACCTCATTTTCCCATTTCAGCTCGCCATATTCCTTTTGACATATTGAAAGACGAGATTTTGTGTTGGCTAATGACACCTTGTCTTTTTCATAGTTTCTCAGTTGGCGGCTCAACTCAGTAACTTCAGCCTGGGCTCGCTGAAGTGGTTCTACCAATTTGTGATTTTCTGTTGTGACATCACGTAACTGCTTTTCCATATGTTCTTCTCTCGTCTTCATGTCTTCCATCTGCTCCTACTCAAGGAATGATGGACATTGAGAAATTTGCAAATTGATGTGTAATGTTATATTGTGTTCAGTTACAAGTATTATTTTTGGATCCTGTGTGTTGACTTCTTTATGCAAAGTAAAAAATGCTGAATTGTAAAACTCTGTCAACAACTTCAGTTTTATACTGTTCTACTGTATTGTAACATGAGATATAATGGGATATTTTGGGGATCTATGCCTTGATCATAATGAGGGGAAAGTATTGAAGCATGCATGTAATCTTAAGCTATTCGTTCCATACACTGATACATCAGTACTTTGCACATACCTTGAGACTACTAATGAGAGCAAGATTGTTAAGAGTAATGTCATTATAGTAGTTCTTAATCTCTGAAAATGCATTTTCATGATTCTTAATTAACTCAGCTACTTGCTTATTTTTTCGTTCTTCAATTTCAGTTAATTCCATTCTGTGCCTTAAATTAAGTTCATTTCTCTGAGTTGTTAGCCGCTTTTCGTATTTTGCTTCAATCTCTCGAGCTTCAACCTCGAATGTAGCACGGACCTTATTAAGCTCTTCACTGTGTTTCTAAAAAGAGAGCAAGCAAAGGAAACTTATATATAAATAGTCAAAATAATGACATTCCTTCCCCACAAAAAAATCATTTTATTGCCTGTTCAAAATGAGCATGTACACACACAGTCAAATAGGCATTGCTATATTTTTCTGCAATTATACACGTTTCTGTACTTGACTCGTAAAATTCCATGAGTATCTCAAATCACTGTACCATGGAATGTAAAGAACTAAATATTTTTCTCTTAGATGAAGCAAATTTTATATGAAACACTGTGTAATTTTGGGAGTATTTAATGAGATACAAACATCATGCATTAGTACTTCTTTTGGCTTATTTTGGACTTCATCCATCGTCTGGTATGTAAAAGACAAAAGACCACGACGTTTCGGAGACTGGATCTGTCTCCGTCTTCAGGTGGGTAGGGAAGGATAAACCTACTCAGTTGGGCCCGTTAGAAAGAGCTAGTCTCAATCACTGGACAAACTCCGGTCTGTAGAAAAACAACCTATGAACAACTGATAACCGGTTCCATCAGTGGGAGAAAAGAATAAAATCACAGTAAAGACATGGTAGAAAATTTGTGCCAAGCATGCACATGTCAACAATGTAAAACGTCGTGGTCTTTTGTCTTTTACATACCAGACGATAGCTGAAGTCCAAAAGAAGTACAGTATACACCATTGTCAGAATCCTTTCAAGTCTACCATAATGTATTAGAACTGCTATATTATAGCAGAAAACCTCTTCACTTAGAACCTGATATCGTTATGTTGTATCTACAGACACCTGAAAAATAAGAATGATACAGCATAGCAATACTTTTTTTTTTCCTTGGCACTACAGCCCCAGTGGGCCTAGGCCTACCTCCATGAACTCCGTTCACTTCGGTTTTTCTAGATCTTACACATACGGTAGGACTCCTTGGGCGAGTGATCAGCTCGTTGCAAGGCCTCTACCTGTAGACAAACACAGAAAAACGTACACAAACATCCATGCCCTGAGTGGGATTCGAACCCATGATCACGGCTTCCGAGCGAGCGAAGACAGTGCATGCCTTAGACCGCTCAGCTACCGTGACCGGCATAGCAATACATACTGCAGTCAATTGAACTGCAATATCTGTGGCTTATATATTTAACTTTTAACATAATAGTAGTTCTAGTCTTATGTAAGAAATTTATGACATGGATATTTTAAATCTTATATATGTGAATTTTAAAGCTAGAATAATATTGCAGACAAATAAGATATGTCTGCCTGCAGGATATGGTGGTAACCTCATCTCTTAAATACTCCTGAATACTCTATATAGTATGTCACAGGAACCTTGCAAGGGATAGAATGAATGTGTGAAATCATAAAGTCTTAATTGCCTATGCCATGAAAGAGAAGATATGCACTGACCATGATGTTAATGTGGAAGTTCATGTGTATCTCGCATTGCATGTATTACTACTGGTTGAAAGATCTTACTATTACAGAAACAAGCAGTGAGCTGTAATTAGATTCAAGAAGATATTATGTAAGATTTGAGGCTTTCACGGCGGTGACTATGAAGAAAGCAGTCTTCTGGGATTTGGCACCGTGTATATGTGGTGTTAACCGACGTTTCGGAGGAACGTTGGTTAACACCACATATACACGGTGCCAAATCCCAGAAGACTGCTTTCTTCAAGAAGATATTATATCACCACAGAGAAGAAGATAAAGAGGAAAGCATCGAAAGGGATGGATAATTTTTGTCACAGTACTGACTACATAGAAGAATAATGATAAAAGAGTAGAGAATTTTCAGAACATTTCATCATATATAATGTATTCAATGTATACTAGAACGGCTCATACAATTGTACTCGGCTTACATGGAACAGCCAGTGCTTCTTACCATGCATATTGCTCGAATCTCATCTTCATGTGCTAGTTCTTGTTCCTTATGCTGATATTTCAATTTTCTTTTGTCTTTGAGGAGTTCCATTTCCTGTTCATTGTAGTCATCTTGGGCCATCTTAAGTGACACCATGCTCTCTGCCTAATATATTCAAAGAAAAACGTTATTAAATGAAACTTTACATACAAGGGGGAGAAGAGGAATGCATATTGGATTTTGGTGGGAAAGCCAGAAAGAAAGAGACCACTAGGAAAACCTAGATATAGGTGGAAGGATAATATTAAAATGGATCTTAGATAGGATGGGGTGGTATGGACTGGATCTGACTCCGGATAGGGAACAGTGGAGGGCTCTTGTGAACATGGTAATGAGCCTTTGGATTCCATAAAATATTGCAAAATTCTTGAGTAGCTTGCTTCTCAAGGACTCAGCTCTATGGGGTTAGTTAATAATGAAAATTTGATGGTTCTGTAAGTCAGTTATTTAAAATGTACATGTTATTACCTTAAGTTCTGACAGATTGTTCTGATGCTCATAAAGGAGGTGTTTCACTTTTTGTTTGTAAACTTTGATCTCCACCTGGTGCCTTTCTTCAGCTTCTTCAATTTCTCTATCTTTGTTCCTATAAACAAAATGTCAGAATCTTATACATTAACATAGTTTACCAAACCGAGACCTAGGAATTAACATTGGTCTGTAGACCCCCTCATGCTAATATGTAGGGGATGAAATTTGGTCTAATATTGGCCTTATACAGACCTCAGTTCTGCACGGTTTTCCTCCAGTTGTTGTCTTGTTATTTCCCAGAATGTTCTGAGTTTGTCCCTTTCAAGTTGGAAGAAGTTGCGTTCTTCTCGCTCCCTTTCCATCTCCTCCCGTAAGCGGTGGGCAAATACTTCTAGCTGTTCTCGAGTCATTTCTGTTGTTGATACACCATCAATGACATAACCTTCCGATTTTTTCTTTCCTCCTTTTCCCCCACCACCACCTTTTTTTTTTGGAGGCTACAATTAGAAAATAAACATACGAATAATCCATATATATAGTTAATAACTTCTCCTAATTCCAAATGTTATCAGGCATGAAGCATACTGATTCAATGACAAAATTTGTATGCACCTCGCAGCTGGCGTTGCACTGGTTGCCGTGAAGTGCAGAGCAGTGAACTGGTCAACAAAGGTAAGAACCTCCTTGTGTGTGTGTGTGTGTGGCCGACCAAGGTCAGAGTTTGAGTCCCGGTAGGGTCAAGACTTTTCCCTTTTCCACGTCGTCCAGACCGGCTCTTGGGTCGACCCAACCTCCTATTCAATGGGTACCGGGGGTAAAAGCGGTAGGGGCGTGAAGCTGACCACTCACCTCCAGCTAGTGCCGAGGTCTAGAAAATGTGGACCTAATACTTCCACTCCCCCATACGTCTTCTTGTCATAGTTCTTAATTAGTTAAGCACAGGAACAACTTTACCGTACCTTACCATATTCCGTTTAATACATATACACAGTAGTTCACTTACCATTCTGAGGATTTGGTGTATAAAATGTTCGATAGGTTGACGTTCTGCCCCCAAACAAATAATAAGTCAATATTTCATTTGTTTATCTGTCTATGTTGCCATGGCAACACAAAATATAACACAGTGTCACCAATTCATTTTTTACCTCAGTTTGGTAAATTATCCCGTATAGGGATCATATGATTTTACGTCATAACATGGCGCTTTTAACTGTTGGGAGGTAATGTGTAGTTAAAAGTTTTAATTTGTCATGAAAATAATAATCTCCGAACCAAGGATATTAATCAACGTTGAAAGTTTCTTACTGAAGTGTTACGAGGATTGCTTGAGTATTTTGTTTACACGCGTTATTCGTGTTTTAAATTACATACATTATGTTTGACGTAGCTATGAATGTCACAGCTACCGTGTTTGACTTATTTTATATTACTGTTACCAGTTTTGGACCTTGTGACTTACATTTACATTTATTTTTCACTTCATGGATCCAATAATCTCCTTGTAGGGCTGGATATAAAACATGTCACATATTACAAATTCATGATGACTACACATCATTCGTCCTTCGTCCAATAAATTAAATAATAATATGTAAATATATAGATACAATAGCTCTTACGGTATTTAGCGTGTACTGAGAATTTTATTCATATTTCAGGAAGCTACACAACAACGCACGTTTCTTAGACAACAAATTGCATTGAGGATAAATGAGGGTAGAATCATGTTGACATCAACAGTTATCAATGGTGGAGCAGGTTGGAGCTCGTGACGCAATGCGATGTTACCGACTGATGATAAAGGTTAAGGTTTAATATGACGACTGCTGTGGAATCTCCACAGTTCATTAGAACAATTGAATGGGATATGATGGACAAGAGCAAGTTCTTTCCCTTGAGTATGCTTAGTACATTTTCAGTACGTTGTGTGCTGTATCCTTTAACTGTTATCAAGACTAGACTGCAAGTGCAAAGACACGATCAAATGTACAAAGGTAAGAAAGTATTTATGAGCCAGAACTGTGGTTATGCAGTTAAGATTAACAATGCTTTGAGGTCTTTTTTAATGCACGTATCATGGTCATAGAATTGTATTTAATTGGTAAGATCCCCCCCCCCCAAGAAGTACAGTAATCAGATTTTTGTGGTCTGGCGATGACTAATAGAAGAACAACATAATAATCAGAATGATGTGTTCGACAGTTTGGTAAACAGTACATCATTCATTCTTTTATTAATCCTGTAGATCATGATACAGTGATATAGGACATGTCCATAGATATGTTATGACACACAAGAGGTATAAATAAAAAGACACCATATAACTTAGAATAGTACAACAACACAAAGTGCTCTGCACAGCAGTACCACCATCACATAATCTTGGATTATAGAAACACTGCGTAATACCCATACTATAATTGCTGCTTCCTATTCTACATGAAGACATGGACCACTGGTTCTAGTTTTAACAAAAAGTTTTTATAACTTTACTTCTAAATACTTGACTATGTGAATAATTTAATTATAATAACATATAAGTGTTCCAACCACTTCATGTAGTTGATGTAGTTACAAGGTATAACTTCCTAAATGTTGATTGTGTCCTTCTGAAGATGGTCAACCCAACTGAAACATGTTAAGGAAAATTAAATATTGAAATACATCTTTTATAAATCAATCACACTGAACGGTGCTACAAGTCATTTTATACTTGTAGAATTTCCCTTTATGTTGTCAAGTGACGTTAGAGTATCCTGTAATTTCATATTTATTATTATTATTATTATTATTATTATTATTATTATTATTATTATTAAGGTATGATTGATGCATGGAGCAAGATTTACCGATATGAGGGCGCTTCAGGCCTGTATCGTGGTTTCTGGGTCAGCACATTCCAAATTGTGTCAGGAGTGTTCTACATCTCTACGTATGAAGGTGTGCGACACGTACTGACCCGCTATGATGCTGACACAAGGGTGAAATCTCTTGTAGCTGGAGGGTGTGCATCACTTGTTGGGCAAACTATTGTTGTTCCTTTTGATGTACTCAGTCAGCACCTGATGGTGCTTGGAGTTAACTGTGGAAAAGAGAATAAGGTAGGTATATTTCAGTTCATCTGTAATTTCATTTGATCATATCTGGTTGGAGTCAATCTTCATGACTTATGCTTTGAATTTATAATTTACTTCACATTTTTGGGATTAAAATGTAAAATCGTGTTTTTTCTGTGGTAATTTTGGCCTGTTATCCATCCTTCGTTGGAGTTCTGGAACATTGATTTGAATTTTGTGACCCAAAGAAAAGACAGAATTTTGTATGATATGAACTGTTCATTAAAAGACACAGTACCTCTTCCTACTTAGTACTTATCTGGTTTTTTTTTATTGATAGTGGGGTGGGACTAAGTCCCTTGTACTGCGGCCACTTGTGGCCTATTGTACCAGCCCCAGATGATAGGTGAGGGTGATTGTGGAGCAATTGGTGAAATGAAGATTGGCAGGGGAAACCGAAGTACTTGGAGAAAACCTGCCCCAGCGCCACTATGTCCACCGCAAATCCTACTTGACCAGACCCAGGATCAAGCTCTGGCCACCGCGGTGGGAAACCAGCGACTAACCGCTTGAGCTATGGTGCGGCCTACTTATCTGTTTACAGTTCAGAGTAATTTTAACATTAGCATAACTTTCATGATCTTTTCACTGAAAGTGTTAACCTTAAAATGTCATAAACCGAACATGTAAACTTTTGTGCTGCGGTTATCACATGTAGGCTGTGTGCCTTATTCTGTTGGTTTAAAATGGATGAATTGAGACAGTGGCATAAATATTGGTCAAGATGGGGAAATAATATTAAACTGGACTTTGATTGTGACATAACATAGATTGGACAAACTATGTATGTATGTATGTGTATCTGTATCAAGAAATTCCAGATTCTTGAATTACTGAATAAGTAGCAGAAAGGCAATCAGGGACTGGGCAAATATGAAGCACAAGAAATACTGGGGATCCTTGACTGGACTCAGGCAAGCAAAGGGACTTATGCGAGGACCCTCTACTGAAATAGTGAAGGAACTGTTGAAGTTAAACAGGAACCAGTGGTGGGACTACTCACAGGACACTGTCACCTTAAAGGATACCTCTTCAAACTCAGACTAAGTAATAGTCCTGCTTGTGAGAGGTGTCAAGAATAAAATGAAACAGACACACATATCCTGTGTGAATGTGAGGCCTTAGCTTATTTAAGATTACGTCACTTGGGTCAGTACTTTATGGAACGAAGTGACTATTTTGACGCCCCCACATACAAAATCCTGCACTTCATTTGAAGCACAGGATTGCTGAGGGGATAATCAAAAGGGGAAGCACAGTAGATCACTGTAGGTCGTGGTGCGAGGGCCAAGAAGGCCCACCCCTTATACATTCATTTATTCATTCAACTATATATTGTAACGTGTTCTTAAGTTCGAGTCTTGTTGGTCACGTGTGTAAGTACAATCCCACTTCTGACACCAAATATAACGTGTTTCGTTACTGAAGATGTCGTTCAGATTGTTAATTGGTTTATTTAACAACCTACAGGTCTCGGCTACAATTAATCATAACAATGTTACGGGTTTCCGCACTTAACATACCCTACACACAAATCTCTTCACACTGTCCTCAGTAGTCTACACGTATTCACAGTATGGGAGCTATACAAGTCTCTCTGTATTACACACTCCCAATTACACAATTACACACGTGTCCGGTTCTTCTTTCCGCGGCTGCTGCTGTACTCCAACTCAACTCATAGGCTGCTGCCTTGAGAACTGTCTTTGGCCGCTGATACACTTTAACTGACTCTGTAGGCAGTGTAGTGCTCTCATAAACCCTGAGCCGGACAACGGGAAAACAATTACGTAATAGGCACCACAGTCGTCGGACGCCGTGTTTGCCTGTTACGTAATGGGTACCGCTGTTATTACCGTCGTCTCTCGCAACCACTGTTTACCTGCTTTGCTTAGCAACCGCTGTTTACTCGCTTTGCTTAGCAACCAGTGTTTACTCGCTTTGCATAGCGACCAGCGTGCTGGAACTCGGCTCACTTCGGCTCCGCTCGGTACGTCATGGCTAGCGGGGAGGGAGGGGCATCATCCATAGCGCAACACGTCACAATATGTATGTATCAAAAAATTCCAAATTCTTGAATTACTGAATAAGTAGCAAGTGACTGATGATTTGAAGTTGTGGTGACTGCATGCATTGAAATCTTCTCAGGCTGTCAGGTATGAGAAGATGGAGATAGATTCCAGTGTTTTGGAGAATGTCTCGATCTCCATCATCATGTAGATTCTAAAGGGTTCTGACTGTTGTGAATAACACACAGAATTATTGGGTTTTTGGACTTGTTTCATTATCTGATATTGTAGAAAATAGAAAACATGATGTTTCATAAACTGGATCTCTTTCCTTCCACATGTGAGGGGGAAGATACCTACTCAGTTGGGCCCCTTAGAAAGAATACTGGATGATGGAAAAAGCCTAAAAACCCAGTTATTCTGTGTCTCCATCATTGTCATCGTCATCATCATCATTCTTTGAATGGTTTGCACAGGGACAGCCAAGACCTTATGGTTTAGGCATAACTATGATTTGCAGCCACATTACTCATCACATGAATCCCAAGATACTCTCCAAAAACAGTGGATACCTAGTCCATCTTAGATCACCCCAGAAAAGTTCACTGTGGCATTTACTTGAGGTAGTTTGGTTGTACGCAATGTTAACACAAGACACAAACACTTTCTTCATAAACCAATTGCTAACCTCTCATGCTTCCAGAAAAGCGCATATTATGCTGGGATCAACATTTTTAATAACCTGCCATCTGATCTCAACGGTCTTATGAATGAAAAGGCACGATTTAAAATAACACTGAAACGATACTTAAATACACATTCATTCTACTCTGTTGATGAATACCTGTTGTCTAGAAAATAACTCATGTATCTATAAATTATCCTTATGTGTAGTCACTATGTATTCTTGGTTTCTCTTGTGTGAGAACTCCATTGGGTCTGTACATATGTTTTGTATTTATATGACATATTCCACATCCTACAGTTATTTTGACTGACTTTGGATCCATGGAATGCAATGCAATGTAATGTAATGTTTATCAGTGAGTGGGTAGGGGGACAGCTAACTGCACAATAATAGTGTAACAGAACATTGGTAGTTTCTTGTCAGTGAGCACCATCCACTCCCTGCTATTCTTGTTCTTTAATCAGCTCTGCTGATTTTTTTTAATGATGAATGTAATCCTGAAAGGACAGCAGTGTACTGCAACATGCTGTATTGACAACACTCAATGAACCAAAGGAGTTATTTTCTAGCAGAGATATAATGGTAGAAGAGTATAATAGTTGAAGAATTTCAGAACTTTACTTGGTTACATTGTATCAAAAATCGTTAAAATTAATAAAGGTGGATACAAATTCTTGTGCTGTAACAGATATAAAAACTTTTCTGTCTAGTTTATTAATGTGATAAACAAATAGACACTGTTCACTTTTGTAATTGCTTATGTTTTTATACATTTATCTTCTATACATCATTAGTTGCACCGTGTGTGCTTTTCAGATGATGCTGAATCCACTGGGAGTATCACTTGATCCAGCCCGTTCACGTCTACAAATGACTGCAGATATCACACGACAGATATATTTACGTGATGGTGTGCAAGGTTTCTACAGAGGTTATGTTGCTTCATTATGCACGTATGTCCCAAACTCTGCCTTGTGGTGGGCCTTTTATGACCTCTATCAAGGTAAATACCAGATATGTCAAATGTAGGACATAAAGTTCCAAAAGATGAACATAGCAGCTTTTGTCTGTTTTTGTCAGTGTCAGACATCTCCCCACCTAAATCTTCCTGCAACATTTGCACAAGAAATGAAACCATCTTTTCCATTTTATGTAAGCGTATGTATGAGAAATCTCAACTCTCTTCCCTCTTTCCACAATGTTTCCCTTTCAGTTTCTTTCCAGTTCTCTTCTTGATATTTTCCAGTATCTGGTCAAACCATCTTGCTATGGATCATTTCAGAGGTTTCCTTCCTTTAAATTTTAATTCTAATTACCGTTCCAATATCCTTGCTCTAGCCATTCTTTTTTACATGATCAATTGTAATCGTTTCTCTTCTAACCCTTTTAATGAATTCAAACTCTCTTAAAAATTTTCTTTATAATTTTGACCAAGTCAGTGATCTGTTCTGTTCCTACTTCTGTATGTGTGTCAGTTTAATATTATACTGAATCTTATTTTATAATTTTACCACATATAGATTAAATGAACTTTCTGTTATTGTGATATTTAGGTCAGTGATACCATGAAAGTGTAATTAATTTCTTGCACATCGTATTTTTCAGATCACTTGCATGCATTGCTCCCTAAGTGGGTGTCACATTTGTTCATTCAGTGCATGGCTGGAACTCTTGGTGGTTTTACTACAACATTAATTACAAATCCTTTGGACATTATACGAGCAAGGTTGCAGGTAAGGGTGTTTTAAATTTTTGTTCACATCATTGTAATATCAGACTTATACTTTTGTAGAGAGAGTGTAAAGATTCTGTGGCTTTGTGATAAGCCTCCGCATTGCATAAATTCTAAGTTTGGAGAGTATACACCTCTCTGCTTTAAAATGCTGTACAGCTAATTAGCTAACCCAGTGGAGCAGAGCTCTTGTTGAGAAGTCAGTAGCCATTCAGCCACTCAAGAAGTTGCTCCACTCCCTAAAGCACTTGAATATTCATGGATGTGCTCACAAGAGCACAAATCGATATCCTGACCTAGTTAAATTTGGTCCATACCATATTTCCATTTTGGTATTATCCTTCTATTTACATCTAAATCTGTGTCTTCCCATGATATTTTCTGGCTGAATTTTTATAAGCATTTCTTATCTTCTCCATTCAAATGTTCAGCCTCCTATTGTTCAGCCCATTAGCATATTCTGAAAGTAACTGAAAAGGATTTATTGCAATTCAAGCACCCTGTTAATGACATATCAGGGTTGAACCTTTGGATTTTCTTGTCATTTTGATTTTGTGATATGCCATGATGAGATGTCTTTGAGGTTGCATCGTCATGAGATAGTGACATAGATTATTATGTCATTAAGTTACTAGATACTGTTTCCAACATATGTGTATGTGTGTGACTGTAGATGGGGTTTGGTTTGGTGAATGGATTTATTGACCACTTATACAGACCATTTGGAACTGCAAGTAATTACAGTGCTATTGCCAATCTCCACACTTTACAAATCACCACAGCACCCACTAAGCCTTTTCCAGCCTGCTGTGTCTTCACCATCCATTCCGTGGCATTTTCTTCTAACGGAGATTCTTCAGCTTCCTGCATTCAGGTTGTCTTCACAGCCTCCCGTGCAGAACTCAGCTCTTAACTAACAACCAACTGGGTTGTCTTAATTGTCTTGAAATAACTCTTCAGTATGTACAACACAGAAAACACCCCCATTTCCATTCTTGTAGTCCAGCTGTTGCAGCTGCCTAACAATGGGTTGCAAAACACCATTTCCAACAGTAACTCTGTTGTTGTAGAGGCTTGTTAACCACACTGTTGCACAGCAATGGGTCTGTATGCTACATTATGATGGGAACAAAAATCACCATACCAGATAGCTCATTGACGTGCAGGATTTCTCTTCTGTAATGTTTCCTACTTAAGCTTTGATCTACCTCAGAGATATTTTAGACAGACAAGAGTGCAAAGATGTGCATAAATATATTTCTTCTGATTAAGCTAGTAATAATCTGAGTTGTGATCCAATCTGTTAGTATGTTTGAAAGTTAATTTTAATTTATCTCAATTTATTACATTCAAAGGGAGTTCCACAAGCTCGAAATTGGCAAGCTTCAATTACTTGTGATGTTCATGTAACAATTATTAAGCTTTCTTAAAAGACAGATTTAGAATCTACTTATGTAATGTGTTATATTAGATAGCCAATGCCCTAAGTGTTCTGTTTTTTGTTGTTATTTAATGATTTCAAAGAACAGCATTAGAATGAAGGAAGAAGTGCTCATCTGTGTCCCTGTTTTTTTTTTTTTTTTTTTTTTTTTTTTTTTTTTTTTTTTTTTTTTATTTAGTAACTCAGACGTTCTATATGCCAATCACTGTTACATAATGTCATTACATGCATCTTCTGTACCTAAATGGTGTATTTGTAATTACTCATATCTTGTCTCTTTCCCTCTCTCTCTAGCCCTTCTCCCTATATCTGTCTGTCCCTTTCTTTCTCGCTTATATTTTATCTGTTGATATTATAGGTTCAGCGTTTGGGTTCAATGCAGAAGACATTCCACGTCTTGTGGACGGAGGAACGATTACGAATGTTCACCAAGGGTCTGTCAGCTCGCCTAGTACAGTCAGCATGTTTCAGCTTTGCCATAATCTTAGGCTATGAGACCATCAAACGAATGAGTATCATTGAAGAGTACCGTGAATATGTACGATGGTAGCTGCTTATCAGATGATGCTGTGTGTAGTTATGTATCATGGCATTTTCTGTAGCTGAATCAATGTCTCTGCTCTGTGTTACAGAGATCAATGAACACAAAAATTGCAGATCTGTTGCATTCTTTATCATTGAAATTAAAATATTTAAAAGCAGGTGACTGAATGCAAGGTACATTAGATACCATAATAAGATAAGTGATATGGAAAATGTGGACAGTGCTGTACATATATACATACATATTTCTGTTTTACAAGTAGAAATACAATGGACATGAAACTGGTCACAAGCATAACTTAACAAACAAAGCAGAAAGACAATATAAAGCTAAACAAACACTGTAATTAATTGTAAGATTTGAGGTTTTCACGGCGGTCGCTGTGAAGAGAGCAGTTTTGTGGGATGTGGCACCATGTAGATATTGTGTTCTTCTACCCTGAAGGTGGAGGTGATACGTTCCTCTGAAACATCAGTTAACACAATATCTACACAGCGCCACATCCTAGAAGACTGCTTTCATCACTGTAACTAATTATTTACTGTATGCTCCAAAAATTCATCAACTGTATAAAATGAGTTATTCATGAGATATGAAAATAAATTATTTTTAAAACTAATTTTTTCCTTTCTAAAATTTTGAATGGTCTTTGGCAGTCTGTTAACCTAATGCCAGTAAACATAGTGCCCTTCTGGAAAACAGAAAGATTTGAAGTTGGAATATAAATTTGATTTTTGCTTCTAGTGTTCAGTCCATGAATCTCTGAACCTGAACAGAAATTATTTTATCTATCACAAACAACATCAAAGGAAAAAATATATTCACATGACAATGGTAAAATATCTAATTTCTTAAAAAGACGTCTACATGAATCTCTGGGTCCCACTCCCAATACGATCCTTATTACTTTCTTTTGTAATTTAAACATTCTAGAATTATTAGTTGAATTGCTTCAGAGGACTATTCCATACTTAATGATAGAATGAAAGTAAGAAAAATGCACCATTTGCAGGGTTTCTAAATTCATAAAATAAGATAAACTGCCAGTTACAAAAATAGCCGACTGAGTTTAGGAGGGATATATTCCACATGACTCTTCCAGTTCAATTTCTTATCAATTTGTATACCAAAAAATTTCATTACAGGGACTTCATTCATTACCGAATTTCCAAAGGATACTGCCAGCAAAGAGTTAGCAGACTGTTAATTATCAAAATTGATAATATTAGTTTTGTTAATATTTAAGATCAACTTGTTCACTATAAACAAGTTTACAATGAAAGACAAGACATATGCAACTTTGTGCTTAAGCACCCAGTGGTTTTTTCCAATGACCAAAACATTGGCAAATTTATTGATGCATAATGGCAAGTTGTTAATATATATAATAAACATAAGTGGTCCTAAGACCGACCCCTGAGGAATTCCTTGCTTAACTCTTTCCCATTTGAGGAAATAATCATGATCATCATCAGTTTTGTGATGTACTCTCTGTTTTCTATCTGATAGATAGAATTTAAACTAATTTAAATCACAGTCCTGACCACCATAATACTCTAATTTAGCTTGTATTAAATAAAGTTAAATTTCAAAAAGGCGGTAAATATTATATGCACCATTGTGAACTGTTGTAAAGTTTATGCATGGGTCCTACTTCTTGGCTATATGGTCCCGTAAGAGTTTTGATCTCCTTTGCGAGAAATGACCATTCTTTATTATATCATACCAACAAAATTGAAGTGTAATGCATGTGCAAGAGAAATGAATGTACATATGCATGTTATGAATTTCTTCTGTTTCCTTCAGCACTGTTCACTTTAAGTGATACTATTACAACACATACAGTTTTCGTCAGAGGGATATATCTTAAACTGTCTTAATTTTGGACTTCAGTTGTTTACATTTTGACTTGACTGATCAAGGATGTAACAGACATATTAAAAGGCTGTGTTTGTAAGTGGAGGAAAAAAAAAAAGTAACACAGGGTTTTGATAAATGTCTTATTTATTAGGACCATTCTTGGTGCGGTAAATCTAAATAATAATGTTTTGTGACACTTTCCAACAGACTGCAACTAGATTTGTAGCTAGTAGTGCACAATAAATGGGGTTAGCTAATTTTTCATTGTATTAAACAGACTCCTGTATAAGTAGAATAGCATAACAAGAGTATATGTATTTATATTAAAGAATTTAAGTCACATGTAAGATTTTATTACCTTAAATTGAGCACTCCGTTTTGTATATTTAATGTATTTTTGATTTCCTTACATCTTCTGAAAGTTGTTGATCTTCAAATACACGGTCTTTTTAAACAGAACAATCTGCTTATAATAAGCTATGAGCTAATGATGAGGCCACATTCCACATTAGTGGAAAAGTGAACTAGCAGAACATCTCAAAATGTGAGGAACAGAAAACACTTGTGTCCATTGACCATGAATGCAATACAGACCCTCAGTGCATAAATTGAGCAAGGAGGGCTTTTCAGTCACCTGATATGACTACAGCAGATTTTTTCCTGTGGGGCTATATCTAGGATCAAGCACGTTGGCCACATCTCCTATGAACCCTTGATGAACTGGGAGCAGAATTGTTAAAGCTGTTGCCATGATTGAGGTGGGATGGATGGGACATCATCTGCATTATGTGATTACAATAAGTAGAACATTTATGAAACTGGAAAATGCACTTCTAAAGAGTGTCTAATAACACTTCATTTTGTGTTTGTAACTCTAGTCATTGGTAAGGTGGGAATATTCAGAAATGCAACCTAATTTGGAAAGACCATGTATATACCTTGAGGTTGTGTATTAATAAGTTTAATATTTGAAAGAAAAGTGTATATAATTATTATATCTATAATCATCCCCCATCCTGTATTGTCAGAATGTTTTTAATGTAAATATAATTACAAAACTGTGGAAGTAAATGGTTTGATAACAGTTGCTTGGCTGGAAACGGGGAAGCGATATCAGAACATGACAAAGTTGGCAGAAATGTTTCTCTTATTAATCTTTCTTCGACTGAAGGAAGAGTTACAAGGACAGAGGAAATAACTTGGGTATGCTCAGTTACCATCAGAGTGTTACTTTTGAAATATAACTGTCTCCAGTCTTCTGCACAATTCATTGTGAAGATTTGCGTTGCAAGATTTGAAACTCTTTGAGATAGGATACCATGCATTTTAGCAGTTATACTGATTTAGCAAGATGTACTTAAGAATAAAATTGAAAACCAAAAACGTGATCCTATTAGTATGAAAATTTTGTGTCATGAATATGATAATTACCATATGTAGGACACATATAGATCAATAATACAAAATTAAATGTTAAGAGATAGATTTGAGAGCTTCAGACTGACTCAGAAATTTTCAGTGAAACCTGTTAGAACAACATCCCTCTTCTTGCTGTGGCATTCATGTATGATAAAATGAAAACCATGATCCAGAGGCATGAATCTTTCATTACAGATCCCTCAAGAGCTAACATGGGAGACCTGTATCACAGGAGAATGATGTTCAGAAGAGAAAGATTACAAATCCACTATCAGACACTTGCTCTTGATACAATTATTGCACATATGGACATTATCCATCATCCTGTTTTATATTTAAAATAACATTTTGGAGACTGGATTTTGTCTCCATCTTCAGGTAAAAACCTACTCAATTGGGCCCATTTGATAGAGGTAGTTCATATCTCTGGACTTGAAGATTGAGATAGAATCCAGTCTTTGAAACGTTGTTTTAAATAAAAAACAGGACAATGGATAATGTCAAAAAACCAATAGTTGTATTCCTATACCATCATCACAGACTTATAGATCTTACATAGGCGAGTCAAATGAAAACCTTAAATTTTTTTTTAGTATTATTTATTGTGCACAAGTGGTACAAAGCTGTATCACTTTTCAACATAATCTCCCCCACGCTCAATGGAAGTCCTCCAGCGCTTACAAAGTTAATTAATTCCTTTAGAAAAAAATTCTTTTGGTAGTCCATGCAACCACTCATGCACCACATGGCATACCTCTTCATCAGAATGGAACGTCTTTCCTCCCATTGCTTCTTTGAGTGGTCCAAACATGGAAATCACTTGGGCCAAGGTCTGGTGAGTATGCCAGATGAGGAGGACACTCAATATGCAGGTCATTGATTGTCGCAACTGTTGTATGGGCAGTATGGGGCCTTGCATTGTCATGTTGCAAAAGGATACCTGTGGACAGCAATCCAAGTCGCTTTGATTTGATTGCAGGCTGAAGATGATTTTTTAGGAGATCTGTCCCTCTAGGCATGTAGTGCTCCAAGATGACGCCTTTATCGTCCCAAAAGAGAAACAGCATAACCTTCCCTGCTGATGATTGTGCGGTCTGGGACATGGCACTATGTAGTCTTCTTGACATTTTGGAGGAACATACTTCTGTACCTTCATGGTCGAAGCTTAAGTCAGGCAAAGGGGAGCAAGTGTTCGCAGTGTTATCATCATATGTACTGGTCCATTCAGGGCTCCAGTTCTGGTTCTTCCTTCCTTGTACCTATATAACTTCATTCCTTTTTTGTTCTTTCTTTCGGTTGAGCTGGTAATTTGAGATAGACACAAAATTCAGAGACGTGTTTTAATGAGATTTGTACATGCAAAGACATTGTATAACTTCATTCGTTTTGAAGAAAGCAGTCTTCTGTGATTTGGCACCATGTATATGTGGTCTTAACCGACATTTCGGAGGAACGTATCGCCTCCATCTTCAGGGTAGAAGGAAAAATATAAGAAATCCACAAGCGAAGAAACCGTGAGAACCAGTAAAAGCAGATTGCTTTTAGAGCAGTAGCTGCTCTCTGCATTCACAAGCCACTCACCTGCTCTGAAGATTGAGGCGATACGTTCCTCCGAAACGTCGGCCAAAACGAAGAATACACGGCGCCAAAACCCAGAAGACGACTTTCTTCATAGTCATCACCGTGAAAACCTCAAAACTTACACAGTAATGTAGAATGTTCAAAGAATGGTGGGCAAACAAATGTTAATGATCAAGAGCCAAGGGGTCAGCCATCTGTAGTGAGTTATGGTCTTTTTCAGAGTGTTGACCAAAAAATTTGTGAAAGATGGCACTTCATAATTTCAAAACTTTCATGTGAACTTCCACAGATTTCACACACTGTTTTCTATGAGTTCACCAGAGTTAGGCTAGGCTGTCACAAGTTATGTGCAAGATGAGTTCCAAAAATGCTCACAGGCACAAACAAAATGCACAGAATGACTTCAGCTTTGACTGTGACTTTTAGAGTGATACCACAAAGATGGTGATGAGGTTCTCAGTCACATCATACGAATAACAAGTGTTGGAACCTGGATTTAATTTGGAATTACTTGGACAGGAAAGGAGCACTGATGGTGGAATTCATGCAGTGGGGGACCACAATGTCAGAAGTGTATTGTGAAACACTAAAAACTGCGCAGGATTGGCCATTCAGACTAAGACATGGAATGTTGACATCTGGTGTAGTGTTCATCTACATACAGGTGCTTGCATTCAAGCACTGCTGGAGCATTTCAACTGTAAGTTGCTCTGAGCAACTACGACCTGTTTACTTACCTGAAGAACTAGCTGAGATCACAACTCTTTAACAATAATGATGTGTTGATGGAAGGTGTCAAAATGTGGCTAATATGGCAGGCTTCTTTGACACAGACATACAAAAGCTTACTCCCCAATATGATAAGTGCCTCAATTCTGGTGGTGACTGTGTTGAGAAGTAGTATAAGCATGTACATATTTTTTTCCATTGCTTGTTTTGTTTACAGCTCACCAGAGGTTACTTCCCAAATAGCTCTAGTATATTACAATATTAATTACCTGTTTTTCAAAATGTATATTGTAAAAAGGAATATATGTTAACAGTATAAAAAGCGAAAGCATTATACATATCGAGAAGCAAATATGATTACATTCTTCATAATGTAATACCAAAGATATGAAGATGTAATTTGGTCTGTTTTGTATATTAACAGTGTGAATAAAATGAAACTGAATCTGCCTACCTGCTTCCCATATTATACTGAGCTGATTCATACACAACATATTATACAAAATTTATAATCATGAAATAACTCTGTAAGATTTGAGGTTTTCACGGCAGTGACTATGAAGAAAGCAGTCTTCTGGGATGTGGCACCGTGTAGATGTGGTGTTAACCGACGTTTAGGAGGAACGTATCGCCTCCATCTTCAGGGTAGAAAGAAAAGTAAGAAAATCTGCAAGTGAAGAGACAGTGAGAACAGGTGCAAGCAGTCTGCAAGCAATACGTTCCTCTGAAACGTCGGTTAACACCACATCTACACGGTTCCACATCCCAGAAGACTGCTTTCTTCTGAAATAACTCTTTTAACAGTTGCATTATTAGTTCTATTAATTATTGCCAAGACTTTATATATTCTATGCAAGATTTTCTCTATATCTTTAGTTCAGAAAGGTGAAACAAAAAGATATGATTATTTATGAAACATTACTAAGGAAGACGATTGTCTCTGGGATGTGACTGTGTAGTGCAGTTGTTAGGTATAAATGCTTTAGAAAAACATGCTGCTGATTTTCAGGTTAGAAGAGTTTCTTTTACTGTGAAGCTCAGTGTTTCTCCAAAATGTTACCTACCTACCAAACTCAATGGTGGCATATCTCAGAAGACAGTAATTTTCATAGTCATTGCTGTGAGAATATTAGATTTCACACTTATAAGAAAAGTTAGTGATCAGGTCTTGTACAGAACAGATTTCATATTAGGCATTTTACTAAACTTGGTCACACATAAAATAATGAGCATATTGCCGCAATAGAATATAGATATGACAATATCAGCTTCCAAAATACTGTGATCATCTTCAATATTTTGATTACCTTTCTGTATTACCGCAATTTTTTTTACTTCATAACACTGTTGCACTCCATAACTGAAAAAGGAATTGTTTGTATATATAAATACACAAAAGCACTAAGGTGTTTTTTTCTGGTACCCATACTTAGCTTTAGCCCCAAGATCAGAGCAACAGAAGACGTGCAACTTCTGACAATTTTGTCAATACACGTATGTTCCTTCAAAACAACATAAACTGCCACACTACATGGCATCACATGTCAGAAGGCAGTACTCTTCATATGTACATCATTTATAAAAAGGTATCACAAATTAGAATCATAAATGTTGAGCCATGACATGCATTGGTAGTCTTTGCTGGGAACAATAACAACACTAAGATATGTTTGTTCAGCTTCCTTTTCACTATGGCTTATTACAGTTGGAATGATATATCACTCTTCGCTATAAATTGTTGGTCCTCGCTTCTCTTGTGCCAATGGCACAATTATTTGGCAATGAAGAGAGCACGCACTTACACAAGAAAACGACCAGCTACTTGCACAAACTCACAGCATGTGGATGGCTTGAAGTGGGTGTTTGAGTCTTTGAGGCAGGAATAATGCTAGTTAGGGCATAGTGCACATGAGCTTTGCTTACTCTTTAGTCCCTAAAACATACACCCCGGGTCATTTCATGGCACACATATAATAATTCAAAAGTGCCTGGTCTGCAGTCCAAGACTTACTCATATTGTGAAAGTCCTGGAATCCCAAAATTGTTATCTTTTGTTTACTGTACTTTGTGAAGTAGGTACAGTAGTTAAAATAAATTCGACAGATGTATAATCTGCCCCTCTCGCATTAAAAAAAAAGTTAGCAGTAAATGAACCCATCTGCATAAGCAATTGGGCAGGGGGCCAAATCCAGCCCAGCAACGCTTTCAAAAGCAGGTCGGTATCAGCATATTACTATTGCAATAAAACTTCTTTTTAATTCGCTTAGTGGGGGGTGGAGTCCAGCTGGGTCCACTTGGCACGGCAGACACTGATTGACCTATTGTACCTGCCCTGGGTGATCATGATGTTGGAAAATTTGGTGGAATGAAGATTGGCTGGGGAAACTGAAGTACTTGGAGAAAACCCGCCCCAGCGCCACTTTGTCCACCACAAATCCCACTTGACCAGACCCGGGATTGAACCCGGGCCGCCGCGGTGGGAAGCTAGCGACTAACAGCTTGAACTATGGCGTGGCCTTTGCAATAAAACATACCAAAATAGTGCTTTCTCTAAACATTTGCATTATAAATATAATCTAATCCAGTGCAAAGCCATAGTAATGTTAAGGAGAAAAAATGCGTTTAGGCTACACATTATTTTGTTTATTCTAAATCCTTTAAAGCCACATGAATTGTTCCTGTATGGATAAATGAAAGACAACGCCTGCGACTCTACACCGATGGTGAAGATGTGTGGCCCTTAACGCGTACACAAGTTGATATGCTTCCTCGCCCAATAATTACACACCCCTGCCATAAACTGTTATGCTTATACAAGTCTTAAAAAAGCGTCCTGCGGCCTTATTATAATTACCTATCTTTACTATCACGTAACTGTCTGCTATATCGCACAGGGGAAGTCACTGCGTGCGCCATGGACCTCGGAAGAAGACGGGGAAGGCAAGGACTCACCTATTTTTTATGCATTCTATATAAACGATGGCTTTGGTTAAAAATTAAACTCTCTCAGACTTAAAATTTGTATACGTTTCTGATATATATAAACTAAAATTAAATGTTTGTTCAATAACAACAAGGTTACATAATGAGGTTATATCATACGCATGGAGTATTGCGACTCGGACGATATCAATCATACGACCATACGACTGGCCGCATGCCTGAAACAGACTATTGTATACGTGACGTTACGATTTGCAGCAATGGCAGGTTGGTGCGAAAAGTAATTTAGTTATAGTTTGTTTTTCAGTCACGTAGGCTTAAAACACCAATATTTGTTTTGTAGTAATCTATTTTCTACAATTTTACAGTAATGTAAATGCTACGTTGGTTGTGTGGTAGCACACACGCAGTTAGAAGTATCCATGTCATTTTCTGCTTATCACATTTGGCCTCAGTTCAGTGAAATTTTTTATTATAATGCATGTTATGATGTATTTATTTACGGCAAATGTGAGGACGCTGGCCGTATTTCAGACCATATATCAGGGGTGGGCAAACTTACTAAACATCGAAGCCACCCTTGGTAATTTTCAGAAGTGTTGGAACCACAAACATGTGAACTGGATGGCCAAGGCGCTTGGGTAAATACATTCCGCGGATCATATTATATTTAGTTCATTGAAGAGAAAACGATAATTTTTCACGTGGACAGGGCGAAAGATTGTAAAGAGCCGCATGCAGCCCGCGAACCACAGTTTGGCGGCTTCTATATAGGATCGAATGATAGCATGATTAGTGAATAATGAATTGGAAAGGATATGGTATGTAACTGGTGTGACTGAGTAAAACTTCAGTCAGGGTAGTCAGGTGAAGGCTGTGATTTGAGCCTAGGATATCCAGAATACAAAGCAGAAGTGCTACCTATGTGACTGTTACATTTGATACATTTTATGTTCCATTAAATATATATGGTAATATATCATGTTTATTTCAGAAAATGTAGTATATACTCATCATCTGAAGAAATTATCAGTGGACGGAAATGAGTACAGCTACTTTGACTTGCCAAGTTTAGGACCAAAGTATGGTAAGTATATGTGTGTGTGTATATATATGTAACCTAGCCTATTGTGTCAGGGACTGTGGACCAAGTTGTGCTCTACTTTTATAGTTTGGTGAACATCTGGACATTTTTTAGTATTATATGTTTGGAGGTGTTTAAATGCTCCATCTGTAACAGAAAGATGCTTTTCTGTTAAACATGTTAATCGCTAGGTGTACCTTTTGGTTATTATGCAAGTACCTTGGGTCTGTACATGCACCAGCACAAGATGTTTTCAATAGGAAAGAGGATCGGTGTGACAGCCTTCATACCTTTAGGAATCTAATGCTGACTAATTAGAATGGATCATATCTGAAAATTAATGTACAGTGATAGCAGAAATAATCTTGCAGTGTAAAATCTAGACAATACACAGGTTGCAGTCATGTATCATTGGTGCAGATTCATTCGTGTCAGTTTCATCTCCAGCTCTGTAATGCCACATGTGTGTCTTTGGTGTAGGCCCTGCCTGAACCAAGATAATAAGCAGCAAACAGTCTGCTGATAATGGAAGCAATGCATTACTCTGAAGTGTATGTAAACTTCTGCCACACTGCACAGTGACAGTTACTGAAGATAGTGTCCTTCATGGTCACTGCTGTGAGGACATATATCTCACACCTTTACTTACTTTACTTTCAAAGGGACAATTTCCATATCCTAGGTTTGTTACCTGTATGGATATATTGAAAATAAAGGAAATGAATCAATGAAAGCTTTATTATCCCCATTACAGTACACATTTTGGCAGACCTGCAGTCTAGCATCACAGTTAAATTACAATTCCTGTGGTGATTAATAAAGGCGTGTATCCTATTGTTACACAACAGATTACTGCTCATCTAGATTTATTTCTATTTTGTTGTCATTCTTTCTTGTCCGTCGTCTCCCATTTCTCTTCATTTAATCAAATGTAGTTGTATTTTCCGGCATTAGTCTTTATTCTTGCGCCCTATTAGTCTCCAAATACCTATTTCTGCATCAGTATTTGTAGCCCTTTTGTGCAGAACCCGGTCCCTCCACATCATTATTTCTTCACATTTCAGTATGTGACCGCAGTCTTTTTCTTTGTTACATATGGCACGCACACCTTTACTTTGTTGGGTTATGGTCCCATGACCTGTGTAAGTTATCACACATGAGTTTCTAAATTTTTTATTACAGACAAGTTACCATTTTCCATACGTGTGCTACTAGAGTCAGCAGTAAGAAATTGTGATAACTTCCAAGTGAAAGATCAAGATGTTGAGGCTATTTTGGACTGGGAGAAAAATCAGGCAGTACCAGATGGAGTTGAAATTGCGTTCAGGCCTGCAAGAGTTATCCTCCAGGTAACTGTGCATATATAATTCTGAAATATACCAGTCACTATTACAGATAATGTTTTCTAGAACTGTTTCTTTCATATTTCAATTTTGATTACAGTAATGTGCTTAGGACACATATCTGGAGAAGAGGGCTTTCAGTGAATGATGCTAATAGTGTTTTTTATTTTTCACATGGCTCTTCCACTCCATTCAGGGTCCTGGCCTCTTATTTGGTTCTGTAATAATTTTTTCACAGACAGTAGGACTCCTTTGATGAGTGGTCAACTTGTCGCAAGGCAGCTACTGAAACACAGGACAACACAAACAGACATTCAAACATCCATGCCTTAAGTGGTATTTGAACCCATGATTCCAGCAACCAAGCAAGTGAAGACAGTTCATGCCTTAGACCACATGGCTACTGTAGCTGGCTGCTGTAACTTTTTTACATATGTGTAATACTTGATGATATAATTAGATTGCTGGTGAAATTAAACAGACTAAAGTACGGTATATGCAAGTGCAGAATATACTGCAATGTTGTATAGTAAACCTTAATACTATTTCAGTTAAATAAAATATAGGATAATGATAATATTAATTAACCAAAATGAAATGTAGCCTGGATTCCATCAACCCATATTTATTTCTGTTGCTCCTACTTTGAGCACAGGGCATCCGTGAAACACTGTTTCACTTCAGTTTCTTAATATTAGACAGTCAGTAGAACTCCTTGGACAGAGGATCAGCAGGTGGCAAGGCCGCTACCTACACAGGACAACACAAACACAGAATAAACGCAGACAAACATCCGTGCCTTGAGTGGGATTTGAACCCATGATCCCAATGTTCAAGTAGGCAAAGACATTTTATATTAGTCTGGATTACCTATTGCGTATTTCTGGGTAGTTGATTCAGGCTTTGAATGAACCTGTAGGCTTTAAGAGCTTCAGATTGAGCATGGCTCTCTCATTGGGTGTTGTAAGTTGCTGCTGAAATGATTCTTTTTAACATCGTCCATGATTTCTATGCAACTCTATCATTGACTTGAATTGTCATATATCATGTACAATGATCTACAGTGACGAAATAAATCAATCAATCAATCAATGATGCATTTTTTAACAGACATCATGGGTATAAATAACTTGAAATTTGCACATATATGCTTCAAATAGTGCAGCTAAGGTAAGGTCTGAAGAGTAATGCAGTGCACATTGTGACAGCCTATGAAAATATGTGTGTATACATGTCTTTCAAATTCAACTGTAGATTGAAACTCTCACTAAAATAAAACATTGAATGAACTTTCTACTGGGCAACTTTTACTTTGTGCCACTGTACTTCAGCTCCTAACATAGGATGATAGGTGATAACACTTTGGAGGCCAAAATTCATTTAATAAACATCGTATCTCCATTACAAAAACACAGTAGAAGGTAAAATTATCCCCTTGCTTAATGAAATAAGCACTTTGCCATGAAGGTGTATGGGGGAGTGGATGTATAGGTCCACATTTTCTTGACCTTGCCACTAGCTGGAGGTGAATTGTCAACTTCACACCCTGGCTGCTTTACCCCCTGGGAAAGAGTCCCTGGTACCTATTGGATCGGAAGTTGGCTGAATCCCAGAACCATTCTGGATGACTTAGAGAAGAGAAAATTCTTGACCCTACTGGGATTTGAACTCCAACCCTAACCCCTCAGTCCAGCCCATAGCCAGTCGCTATACCAACTACGCTACTCTGACTCAAACAAAAAACACAGTAGCTAATGATTTTTATTCTGAGAACAGTACAGAACACACAAATTCACTTTCTGAGCAGAATGAAAAATATTTGAATGTGAGATTAGATGGTATATACGTGGTGTGTTCAAAAAGTATCAAACCTTTGGTCGGCAGAAATACATTTATTGATTTGGAGGTACAAAACCCTAATCCCCTTCAAAGTAGTCTCCTTGGTAATGCACACACTTCTCCCAGCACTTCTGCCATTGTTGGAAACTCTTCTGGAACGCGTCTTTTGTCATGGTGATCAGCCGGGCCATCGCATTCCGCATGATGTCTTCTCTTGACTTAAATTGGGTTCCTTTCAGTGGCATTTTCAGCTTGGGAAATGCCAAAGTCACACAGAGCCATGTCGGGGGAGTAGGGAGCCTGACGAACCACAGGGATATTGTGTTTGGCAACGAAAGTCTGAATCAGATGCGCAGGATGGGCAGGTGCATTATTATGATGGAGCTGCCAAGTTTTTGCTGCCCACAGATCGGTTGTTTGCGCCGCACAGCATTACGAAGGCGACGAAGGACCTCCTGGTAGTATTCCTTTGTGATGGTTTGGCCTTGTAGTGCGTACTCATGATGTACAACCCAACGGGAGTCGAAGAAAACGGCCAACATGACCTTGACATTGCTGCAGACCTGCCGTGCTTTTTTTGGCCTCGGGGATGTCGGATGTTTCCACTGTGACGACTGCATCTTGGTTTCCGGGTCGTACCCATAAACCCACGACTCATTACCTATGATCACAGTGATCAGAAAGTTGGGGTTACTGTTTGCATTGTCCAGCACGTCCTGTGCAATTTCCAGATGGCGTTGCTTCTGCTCCAGTGTTAGCAGTTTCGGTACAAATTTCGCGGACACTCCTCATGCCCAAATCCTCGATCAAAATTGAATGTACCGATCCAGTGCTTACCCCTATCTTGTTCGCAAGTTCTTGGACTGTGATACAACAGTCCTCCATGACCAAAGTCCGCACTTGCTCAATGACATTCTCATTTCGGCTTGTTGAGGGTCTGCCTGAACGCGGTTCGCTGTCCACTGATGTGCGGCCATCTTTGAAGCGGTTGTACCACTCCTTTATCCACGAGGTGCTCATGGCATCGTCCCCGAAAGCCTGTTGAATCTTGCGAATGGTTTCCACTTGGGCATCTCCAAGCTTTTGGCAAAATTTGATGCAATATCGCTGCTCATGTTGTTCTGTCATTTTACACCTTACTGGTATCTGACGAGCGCTCACTACTCGTCCTCATTCATAGGCCGACTGCCAGCGACTGACGCTTTCTGTGGGCGGAAAAAATTCACGACTGCGCATGAATGTCCCCTCCACATCTCCACCGAAGGGAGCCTCCTGCGCTTCATTGGTTTACGAGGGAAAAAGAAGGTTTGATACTTTTTGAACACACCACATATAGTAACAACTGTTGTTTGAAGGTTTAGTAGGGATGTTACTGCCAGCTTTATGTTCAGTTAACTTTTCCTCCTGTTTTCCATGTGAGGAAAACTATTATAATATGGATATGTATGTTACTGTAAATTAAAATGTAATCACGATTATAATAACAGTGCTTTGGCAGAAATTTTCATTGTAATGCTCAATACAAGAGTCGTAAGCTTTTATATCTAATTCTTAACATGTGTTTAATTAGCATGATAATTGTTCTTGAGTTCCTGCACAGTTGGTGGCTTCTCAAGCAGGGCTCAGCTCCATGAGTGAGTGAGTGTGATAAACTCTTACCTGATTCTTTAAACTTTCAGGACTTCACAGGTGTGCCAGCTGTGGTAGATTTTGCAGCAATGCGTGATGCAGTAAAGAAACTGGGTGGTGACCCTAACCGTATCAATCCTGTATGTCCATCAGATCTGGTCATTGATCATTCAGTACAAGTGGACTTTGTTCGCATGTAAGTGTTGAAATATAAATTTTCACAAGTTTTAATTACACACAAAACATGGTAAGTCCTTCCAATGACACTATGGCCCTGGGATTTACTCAGCCTCTAACAGAAGTGAGTACCAGGAATCTTCCTGTGACTAAAGGGCGACCGGTGCATAAGGCTGACAACCTTACCGCCATCTGTGAGCCTAGTGTCTAGAAAATGTGGGAGCTTCGATGTCTCACAACCCTATGGGCCTTCACGGCCTGTTATAGGGGTAGCTCTGTGGCAGCAATTGTAGGCCATGATGATAAAGTCACTGTATGAATGGTAATCAGAAAGTTATAGAATGGGAGGAAGATTGGTCATGAAAATAATTTAGTTTCATAGAACTTATTTTCTTCCCCCTGAAATATCTTCCTTACACGTCAGTACATTTTGTCTGTGTTATTTTCCATAAAACATTGGGAAGACTAAATATTGTGTGTTTGGCTTACTTAAAATTATGCATAATATTATTATTCTTATAAATCCATGGTATGTACATTTTAATTAAAGTAACTGTAGTGGTCCATGAAGTTGTGTGAGCAGTTGACAGCAGTTCATAAGTTCACACTTGACTCTTGAGTGAATGTTTTATAGAAGTAATACTATTTTGAGTTTAATAGATCCTATTATATGGTACCATTGGTGAAGGCTATTTCATTCCCATTACTGGTATATGGTTTATTACTGCGTTATGAGTTATACGAGGGTAAGTCAATAAGTAAGTTACAAATGGATATAAAACTTAAACAGAAATAAGAGTACTGATTTGAAAAATGTTTTTATTTCTTAACATAATCTCCCTGTACATTGAGGCACTTGTCCCATCATTTCACAATCCCCTGGAAACCAGCAGCATAAAATTCTTTGGGCTGCTGTCAGAACCGGGGGGTGACTTCCCTTTCTACAGATTCCTTGTTGGGAAAATGTTCAGCCGAAATATGATGTTTAAGATGGGCAAACAAATGGAAGTCGCTTGGAGCAAGGTCAGGGCTATACAGAGGATGCTCAAGGACTTCCCCCTTGAAATTTTGCAGCGTCTCATTTGTTTTGTTGGCATTATGGGGACATGCGTTGACATGCAAGAGCAACACGCCTTTGGTGAGGAGTCCTGGTTGCTTCTGTTGAATGGCCTTACGAAGTTTCCTGAGGATGTTACAGTACGAGTCGGCTTTTACAGTTTGTTCTTGAGGCTGGAATGTTGTGAGCGGTATGCCTTCATGATCCCGGTCACTGCCTGGTTCTGACAGCAGCCCAAAGAATTTTATGCTGCTGGTTTTCAGGGGCTTGTGAAATGATCGGACAAGTGCCTCAATGTACAGGGAGATTCATGTTGTGAAATAAAAGCATTTTTCAAACAAGTACTCTTATTTAAGTTGTATATCCATTTGTAACTTATTTATTGACTTACCTACATATTTGCTGTGTTACTGTCATCAGTAGTGAGGTAAGATTCTTTAACTGTTAAGATAAAGACAAATTATTATGTCTAAGAATGATATTTGAAGAGGTTGTGGTCCATAAATAAGTTTTTTTTATATATATATTTCACATTGTTTAACAAGGGGTATGCTTATATGTATGTTATGGGCAATTCCAGACATCGGCCAAATCTGGACGTGAATGGGCAGATTGCAGAATGTCAGTATTCAAAGTATGAATGACTTGTAACACATTTCTTTATTTTTGTGTTGTTGCAAATATTTTCAGATGCTCCTATATGTCTTACAGAATGATACAGTCTAGAAGCGTCTTACATTTTTGTCTAGTATTAGTGAATGTCATATTTAAAACAGTGCGCAGAATTGTTATTTGTGCGTGAGTTATTTATTAGTCCCATATATATATCTTCATAAAAATGCTTGAATCATAGTAATCATTAAACAAGTAAAATGGTTTGTGGGAATTAATGTCCTAATTGTAGAGTTATGAGTTTGTACTGTTGTATTCATCATGTGCCCTGCTTTCGTTGTTTAAGAGATACGTATGTGGATGTTGTAAGATGAGCCTGTTTGTAAGTGCTGTTGAAAATTAAAATTATTCAGATTTGTAGAGTTTCCTTCATGATTTTTCAAATTGAAAGTTTCAGTTGTAATATTGACCCTTTGGACTGGTATAACTGTAAGAAACAGATAATGTTGAGGACATGGTATACATGTTGGGTTTGGTGTGTGAGTGCATTACCTTCTAAGTAATATCATCATCATCTGCCATTATGTGGTTATTTAAAATTCAGCAAATTATTTAAGAACCAGCAAGGAGGAGGCCACATGCTTCTTGTTGGTTTCTTGATTGGCCTGTTCTTTGACTGTGAAAGCAGTATGTTTCTCTGAAATGTCACTGGACTTTTATCAGACTACTTGGTGTTACATTTCAGAAGGTAGTAATCTTCATATTAAACTTTATTTCTCTGTGAGTTTGCATTTAATTCACTTAATACATTGAGCTTATGAACTATAATTTTACATGTAAGAAATGTTGTTATCTGGAACCTTAATATTTTTTCTTAAGTATGCTTCAGCATTATGATTCTTTGCTATTATGAAGTTCTGTTAGAATGTTTTTAATCAGGTAACCAGTTTATCGGGCTTCAGTTGTGCTGGGTTTAATGTGGTATTGCTAATTTTTAAGCTAATGTTATGGTTCATATTAAGTTGTATGAACATAAAGGCTGAGTTCCTGCAAGGCTGTTTTAACAACTCTAATGTTTTATGAACAAAATACTAATGAAATTGAGAAACTTAATGGTCAGAAAATTTGATGAATTCATTTGGAACTGTCAGTCAATAATTTGGATGAAGAAAGCATCCTTTGCTGGAGGTGGTGTTTTCTTTTGAGTCCGCCCTGAGACTATTTAGTGAGGACCCCAGGCTGGTTGAGTGCAGTTCAGTTGAATGATGTGAAGTGGTTGGTGAGTGAGTGAGTTCTGTTGATGGTTGGTACTTCAGCTGAGCTCTTCTTGAGAGGCTGAGAAGAGATGGCACTGTAGTTGAGTTTACAAGGGTTCTGTAGGGGTGGCTGTGAAGATAGAATCTGAGTGCAGGAAGCTGAAGAATCTCCATTGATGGGATCTGTTAACAGGCAGTCACTGTTAGAGACTGGAACAGACTGGGAACACTAGACTGTGTGCTGTAGTGAACTGTAAAGTATGGAAATAGCGATAGTATTAATAGTTATTTGCAGTTATGACCCGTAAGCTGTCAATAAATTTGTTCACTGATCCATACCCCATCTATAGCCACACAACCATATTTTGTGACAATATGATGAAGTAAAAGAAAGTTAATTTAGGCTTACAAATAAAGTGGCAACCCTGATTGAACTAAGTGGTATATAAGCATCAGAATTTGAACCTTATGGTTTCTTACCATCTGATAGACACAGATGTTTATTTTTTAAATTTCTAGGGTCTCAATAGACATATTTGGTCCGCGCTACATTAATCCAGTACATTACAATCACCAGCCTCATCGAATTATTGATAAGAATTTCACATAATTTTTTGTTACTGATGTTCCTACCTCTCTCTCACACTTCCATGAGGTGTGTTTCAGACTGTAAATTCGAAGTGTATGTAATGTAACATTAGTACCACTGACTAACCAAAGGGAGGAAGCGGCACATAATGAATGCTCTAAAACTAAGTAAAAAGAAGTGTACATGAATATACTTGTAAGTGCAGACTCAAATTCAGTCACTTTTACTAGTGCATACCAATGGGTAAATGGGAGTTCCAATGTAAGACTGCTGAAAATGTGTTCAGTGGACATGTTAGTGATATTACAACTGTGTAAAGGTTTCCACTGCCTTTGATTCGTGCAAGAACACCTGAAAGTCTTAAATCATGCTTCATTTTTATTTTGCATACATCTCAGCAAAAGTTTATAGAAGTTTCAATATTTTAACTTCATGTTCATAAATTTATTATATAATTGGTTATGTTGTAATATAAAAATTATTAGATGAGACTGATCACAAAAATTAGGATTACGGATACATGTCCTAAAAATATGATATTTGTGCAAGATATATCTGTAGGAGGTTCTGAAGATACTTGTTATTTGTGTTTTTCAGCTAAGTGGGTGGTGGTAATCTTCCTCTGTTACTTGCTCTTTCCTTTTAGATTCCAGAGTTTGTTTATTACATACAAAACATTTGGTAATCTGTTGGTTAACTCTCTAGACTAACTATACATGACTACATTTTCCATGGCTTTTCTCAAACTGCAGAAATATTCTGGGAGACACAGTACTAAAAATGCACCATGACCACATATTTTTCATACTTGATGCATATATAATTGGAAAATCACCAAGTTTTAGTTCAGTATCATCTTATCTCTTTACATATTTTTTTATCACTCTCCATCTAGTGCCAAGCTTAAGAAAGCTGACAAATTTACTGACATTACGGAAGAATGTACTGGCTCCATATGCAGGATTACCGCTTGCTTGGCGTACCATGTGACCTAAGGCAGTGCCATAGCTCAAGCAGTTAATCGCTGGCTTCCCACCACAGTGGCCCGGGTTCAGACCCGGGTTTTATCAAGTGGGATTTTGGTGGACAAAGTGGTGATGGGGTAGGCTTTCTCAAAGTACTTCAGTTTCCCCTGCCAATGTTCATTCCACCAAAATCTCCATCATTATCATCATCATCACCACCACCACCACCATCATCACCACCACCCAGGGCAGGTACAGTAGGCCAATTAGTGGCCGCCGTGCCATGTGGACCCAACTGGACTCCACCCCCCACTATGCAAATTAATTAATTACCTTGTGACCTTAAAGGTGGAGCCAGTATGTTGCTTAGAAACATCAGTAAACGTATGCTAGACTATATAGTGTTCCGTCTCAGAAGATAATATTCATCATAGTTGCTATTCTGAGAACCTCAAATCTGACACTGGTGTTTATACTTTGAGGTCATGCCTAAAGCCCTGGTTTCAGGTTCACCTATCTTTCTTCATTTATAGTCTTCAGAAACATGTCTATACTGTTTGTATTCTGCGTACATCTCCTCTGTTGTGTCCAGTGGGCAATTAATACACTTCATATAACTTAGCTTCAACTCGATCTTAATTGTTTCAGTTACAAGTAACATATGTCAGCTGTATGGCAAAATATCTTGGCTTTATATATTCTTTCTCTAATTAGTTCTTTGGCTGTTCTGTTGATGGAATCTTACTATTAAAATAAGAAAATAAACTTTCTGCAGTTTTGTTATAGAATTTTATTTCTTGCTTGGCTTCACCTACTTACCCATTTATGATGACAATACTCTTACCCAGCTGATTTGTAAATTTTGCTTTTCTAGACTTTTCCAAACTTTCTTGTTTATTTTTCCTTAACAGGACATAATTTATATATATGTTGATTATTTGGAAAGTAACCTTTGGAAAGCTGTTAGCAAAACAAATTGTGAGAAAAAATTATTGTATACAAAAAGTACATACATATTCAAGGTGCTTCTCAGTGTAGTTACCGCTGGAATTGAGCGACGTATCATATCGGTGAATAAGTGTTTGTATGCTTGTGTCAAGGAAGTCTGCCAGTTGTGAGCTCAGCCATGTTTTCACATCTTCCATCAGTTCATTATTGTTGGATCACAGTGACTGCAGTGAGTTCATGAGGTAGGTAAAGAGGTGCTAGTCACCTGGAGTGAGATCAGGAGTGTAAGGAGGCTGGTCAAACAGCTCGCAGTTGAAATGCTCCAGCAGTTCTCAAGTGTGAGCAGTTGTATATTGATACACTTTGCCATGGAGGTGCACTACGCCAGATGTCAGAATTCCATGCTTTTTGTTCTGAATTGTCCAACAGAGTTTTTTTGCTGTTTCACAATATACTTTGGTCAACACTTGGAAAAAGATCACTCACTCACTACAGATGGCTGACAACTTTGCTCTTCATCGTGAACATTCTACACCATTGTCTTACAGTTCCTTCACTCATTACATTTTGGCCATAAGCCATGCATAATTCATGATGGGTTTCCGTGTCGCTCATGTTTCTAGCATGCAGACAGCATATAACAGTGTGAATTTTGCAACTGTCAAGGTTATCAATCACATGACACATCATAACTCACTCTGTAGAGAACACTAGGTGACCAGTTATATGATGGTTTACAAGGCAGTGAGTCATGTGACGCTACTTCGCATGCGCAAGCTCTCCCTCGCTCCTACATTTGTTGTCTAAAATAAACAGAGGTTGCTTTCCAAATAACCCTTGTATTTAGTTTTTTAGAATTCTTTATCAATCTCTTCTACTGTCACTACTATTTTGCCTATGACAATGTCAAATAGTAATGATAAGAGCATATGTCATTGTATATAGGAAGCAAATTGTAGTTGAAAGAGCACTATATATCTTTATATACTTTGGCTTTTGTGGTTTGCTTATAACAAATAGGCTTAACCTAGATCTTCCCAGACACATCAAGATCTGCCTATAATTCAGGATATGCCCTTAGCATACATATTTGAATTTTTTATGTCCTTAGGCCTGAAGCTTTGCAGAAGAATCAGGATTTGGAATTTGAACGGAACAAAGAGAGATTTATGTTTCTAAAGGTAAGTAACCTGTCACCTTTAATTTGTTTGAAAGGTAATAATGTGCAGAAATCCAATAGCAAATTAACCATTTGGAGCCTGATGTCAAGTATAGCTTGTCCTGCAGTGTTGCAGCAGGCTTGTCTGTGATTTAAAATCAAGGCTGATAAGGCAGTAAAGTAAGGGAAAGTGTTGTGATAACTCAGTAGAATCCCAGAATTATGTTTAGTGCCACTGATTCTCATATATGGGTATTGGTTTTCATCTGATGACAGTTGTCTGCAACATTCATTCTTGACCTTAATCATATATCGATATTCCTTATACTTGTAGACAGCTTTAAAAGTGTGGTATGTCAACAGTAGTCATTACTTGATAACAGCACATAACAGGAGATTCCTCTACTTTCATACTCATGTCTTTGCTGGTTGGTGATTGTCAGAACTTACTGATGACTAATGGCTCAAGACTGTTGGGCCATGGCTGAGTCATATTCAGAGCCCCTTGAGGATCACAACCAAGCTTTTTTTTTTTTTTGGCAACTGAACCCTTGCTGTCATAGTCCTTACATATGTTATTTTCATTTGGAGTTCTTGTTTTTATTACTATGAATATTACTCTATGTTTGCTGACATTTTGAAGGAGCATGTCCCCTTGTTAGTGATTTTTGTATTTTCTCTTTGCCATTGAAACAGTAAAATGGTCCTTTCACAAGTCTCAGATTCTTTTACACTCCTCTATACTCCAATTGGTTCACTTGAGGCTCCTCTTATCGTTAACTCTTATCCCTATATCTATATCACCTTATCCCATGCTTAGGTTACTTTTCCATCCTGAATATGGAGTCAGCATGTTCTCTGCAAAGCCGGTAAACATCCTGTAGACTATACTGCATTATGTCCAAAAAGCCAGTAACTTTTTTGCTCATATTATTTTGTTTAGTCAGTTGCAGTTGCTCCATAATTTTGGAATTAATGCTCACTTTCATTGCAGTGGGGTGCAAAGGCATTCCAGAATATGCTGATTGTCCCTCCAGGCTCAGGCATTGTGCACCAGGTGAACTTGGAGTATCTGGCCCGGGTTGTGTTCACCTCAGAGGGAATCTTGTACCCAGACTCAGTTGTGGGTACTGACTCCCACACAACCATGATAAATGGATTGGGTGTACTAGGTTGGGGTGTTGGAGGTGAGTTCTGTTTTGATTATCTTTGAAAGCAGTATTGAATAAGTTTAGGGGAAATGGAATCATTTCAAGCAGAGTTGCAAACTTAAATCAGTTCAAAATTTAATCTTGAGGTAGAATTGTTAAGTCAACTGTGTACATGTTCCCCTTTCTTTATATCAGAGGTTCATGACCTGTTTTTGCCCTCCATTCTATTTTAATGTAAGAGTCTGGATAACAAAAAATTATGAAGTCATGTTTGTAGCCATATGTATCATATCACAAGAGCCCTTCACTGGTCCCTATCCTGAGACAAATCAATCCAATTCATACATACCATTCCATCCTATCTCTCTTAAGATCCATTTTAACCTTTATTCTACGGGCGTTAATATTGTCCAACCATCTACACCTTGGTCTTCACAGTGGTCTCTTTCTATCTGGTTTTCCCACCAATATCCTATATGCATTCCTCTTCTCCACATTTGTGCTACATGCCCCACTCATCTCATCCTCCTTGACTTGATCATTCTAATTGTACTTGGAGAAGGGTGGAAGTTATGAAGCTCCTCATTATGCAGATTTCTCCAACCTCTTGTCACTTCATCTCTCTTCAGTCCAAATATTCTCCTCTGCACACTATTCCCAAACACCCTCAGTCTATGTTCTGACTCTTCACAGTCAGATTTCCCGACNCATGTTAAAATTTTTGCACTGACTCCAAAGAAGAAATTTCCCAGTTGTTTGTTTCTCTGCAAGAAATCTTACGTTCTGGATACCCCTGAATGCAAGCTGGTGNGGTTCCAAGATAAATAAGGGCACTGGAGCTGGTGTGTTCTGCTATGGCACGAGGCAGAAACTTACTCGTAGTTTCAGCCTTGGGCAGTACATGACAGTATTCCAGGCAGAAGTATACGACACTAAGGCATATATTATGGAGAATCTAGATAGGAACTACAGAGATAGAGACATCTACATTCTGTCTGGCAGCCAAGCTGCACTTAAAGCACTTAACAAACGCCAGATCAACTCAAAATTGGTTTGGGATTGCCACCAAACTCTCACGGAACTGTCCAAACATAAGAGGGTACAACTGATCTGGGTGCTGGGGCATGAGGGTATTGCTGGAAACAAAATAGCAGATCAGTTGGCCAAGATTGGAGCTGAAAATCTGTTCATAGGACCTGAATCAGCCTATGGCATCTCTATAGGAGTTGGCAGACAGCCAATCAGGGACTGGACAAATAGAAATACTGGGGATCCTTGACTGGACTCAGGCAAGCGAAGGGACTCATACGAAGACCCTCTACTAAAAGAGCGAAGGAACTGTTAAAGTTAAAGAGGAACCAGCTACGATCGGTGGTAGGACTACTTACAGGATACTGTCACCTTAAAGGACACCTCTTCAAACTGGGACTAAGTACAGGGTGGGATGCAGAAACTTTCTTTTTTTGAAGGCGAATAAAAGAAAAGTTATTGCTGGTAGACAAAATATGTGTCTAGCTAATGAAAGAACATACTTTAAAGTTTTAAATCATGTAGTTTTAAACAAAATATCTTGAAGGTGGGGGCTACCGTTCTCTATGCACTGATGCAACTGTTTTCTGAAGTTCCCCTCTGCATGTTCCAACATGTGCACCGGAATTTGGGCTACTTCCTGCCGAATAACATTCTTCAGCTGAAACAGGTTTGTGGGGTGATGTTTAAAAACCTCTGCCTTGAGATATCCCCATAAAAAAAATCACAGGGCATTAGATCAGGTGAGTGCACTGCCCACGGGATGTCACCTCAAAGCGAGATGAGCCGTCCAGGAAACTTTGCCTTCAAAACTGTCATCGAAGCTCAGGCTGTGTGGGCCGTGGCACTATCCTGTTGGAACGAGACATTTCCTAGATGCATTTCTTCAAGAGCTGGTTCGAAAAAGGTCTCAAAATTGACTGTCGAGCTGCCTCCACATTTTCTGGCGTCATAACGGTATGTTGTCATCGTGATGATTTTTTTTTACCACACTTCCGGTTGTCCTAAAGTTCTCTACCCACAAAACAATCGATTCAAGTTGGGAATCGGACCTCTTGGCTTAATTCTGAAGCGAGTATGGAATACACACTGCACCGCCACGTAGGAATGGTTGTTCAAAAAATAGGCTTCGACAGCAAACGCACGCTGCTCACTCATCCACCTCATATTTCCTACTGAGGGGTATTAGACAGAAACTTCCGTGACTGCTGCATTCGCCGAGCCTCTCCCCACTTTTCTGTGACCTCCCCTCCCTTCACAATTTGTCTTCACAAAAAGGAAGTTTCTGCACCCCACCCTGTAATATTCCCACTTGTGAGAGGTATCAAGAAGAAAATGAAACAGCCACATATATCCTGTGTGAATGTGAGGCCTTAGCTTATTTAAGATTGCGTCACTTGGGTCAGTATTTTATGGAACCAAGTGACTATTTCGAGTTCCCCATGTACAAAATCCTGCTCTTCATTCGAAGCACAAGGTTGCTAAGGGAATAAGAAGGGGAGGCACAATAGATCACTGTGGTCATGGTGCAAGGGCCAAGAAGGCCCACCCCTTATACATTCATTCATTCATTCATATATTCATGTTCCTCCCTTAATGTCAGAGACCAAGTTTCACACCCATGCAGAACCACGGGCAAAATAATTACTACTTATGCATAAGATTTAAATGAAGGCAAGATTAATTTTAAACATTGAGAAATACAAAACTGTAATTAACTTTTGTAGCATATGTGGTCTCTTTTGGACATTTACTTACCCTCCCTAGTAAAAGGGAGCTGTAAATACCACTGTTAGATAAGCTGGGGTACATTATTATAACAATGAATGAGTTGTAGCTCCTCACATCATTGTTGTAAAGATTACTGGCATGTGGAATGTGTACCATGTACTTTTGTATGGTAGGTGTTCATCAAAATTTTTGAGGAATTTGTTGTCTCAATTTTTTTAGAGGAGAAGACTAAAGAGTCCTACCCTGAAGTTGGTAAATATGTGCGTGAGTACATTGTGTCACACCAATAGAAACTGTAATCTTTATGGACACTGCTATGAGAATGTTGTGTATGAAATATGTCCTACTTTGTCTGGTACTGTTCTCTGGGATGTGATACCATGTAGTCTGGTAGGTATTTACCAGCATTTCAGAGGAAACTGCTGTTTTCATTTTTAGGATAGAAAAATAAAGACTTATGCATTGAACCTGGTAAGTATGAATCGGAGTACATGGTTTCTCACATCCCAGAAGACAGCAGTCTTCCATTAGAACCTTGCATGTGGATTGGAAACAAGATGCCATAATATAAAGTACAGAACTGCATTAGTATAAGCATTGCTGCCTCTTTTTGCTGATGCTGATTTCCTCTCCGCAATTTGAAATCATGTGCACCAGAACTGCTCTTAATTTATGTATCCAGGTGCATAAATTGAACACATCCATTCTGAGGTTATCATTTCATTTGGCTGTTTCATGCATAACAGTGTTCATCAAGTCACAATATTTCAAAGAGTGTGGGTTGTACTGCTGTGTAGTTCAGAGAGAAACTAATGTTCCTCTGAAATATCAGACTCTGTGAACTGCACAGTGGTAAAACTCAGATCACACTCTCCTTGGTCATCTGACTGAGAACCTGAAGTCCAATCATTCAATTTCCTTCATATATGGGGCTTGGGGGAATGGTCAGCACTAAACTTTCTCCAGGTAATTATTACGCATATCTGCTTCTGAAATTACTGAATTGGCTGTCTAGTAGTGAATTCAAATAAATGTGACTGTTGTTTTGAACATTATTCATTATTTGGAGTTTATCAAACATGTTGTTTCAGGAACTAGATGTGTTTGTATCATATCATGTAAGAATAGTTTCACTGAATGGCCCAGCATGTCAGACTCAAGTCCAAAATAATAATTGTAGGTAATCCACCATATTCTTCTCTGTTGTAATATTTTGCCATTTGTAAATGTTGCTTTGTGCAGGGATCGAGGCAGAGGCTGTGATGCTAGGTCAAGCAATATCAATGTTACTGCCAAAAGTGGTCGGCTACAAGATTGTCGGACAGTTAAGTCAGTATGCGACATCTACCGATCTTGTTCTCACCATCACAAAGGTAATTGCTGGAAACTAAATCTAAATATATCCTTTTAGTGTTTCTTAGAAAACTGGATGATGGACTACATCCAAAAACCCAGTAATTCTGAGTGTTATGCACCATCGTCAGAATCATTTAGAATCTATTAAATCTTGTATTTGAGACTGAAGAAATTATCAGGATAGTTGTCCATCCATGTTTCAGTAAGTATATATACTTAATTGAACCATTTTACATTGTATTTCGATCTCAGTTTATCATAGGAAATCAGTTGTCATGGCTCAATCAGTACAATGACTATGCAACAGGCTGGATAACTGGAGACTCAGGGATTGAATCATAGCTAGGGCAGAGAACATTTTCTTCACCGTCATGTCAAGTTCACTCAAGGCCACTCAACTGCTGTTGAGTGGGTACCGAAGGCTCATTTCCCACGGAGTAAAGCGGCATGATGAAAATGACTCACCTCCATTTATTGCTAAGCTTAAGAATGCATGGAGCTATACCTCTTCTCCCTCATACATTAAGACATGTTGTGATATGGAACTAAGCATAGGGACAGCTTTACATTTGTACTAGCTGTAAGAGTGTTAGCACCTGCTCACACTGGTTCATCGCTCACGGATTTACTTCTTTTTACTTCTACCCTAAAGATAGAGGCGACACGTTCTTCCGAAACGTTGGTTAACACAATATCTACACGGCGCCATATCCAAGACTGCTTTCTTCAACAAGAAGGTAGTTACAGGATATGTAAAAAATATACAAGAACTGTTTAAAAAAGAGTAAAATTGTACCAGTGATAATTAATGAAGTACTGTGCTTTGAAGACATATGGTGGGGTGAAGGTATAGCTCCACCATTCTTGACCTGGGGGAAAGAGCTTCTAGTACCCATTGGATAGGAGTCTGGGTGGGCCCCAGAGCCAGTCTGGATGCTTTGGAGAACAGAAAATCTTGCCTCTGTCAGGAATCAAACCCCCTGCCTTCCAGCCCATAGCCCATTAAACTTTTTTTTTTTCATATAATCTCTCTAGAGAGAGATGGGGAGAGCAAGCATGAGCCTTTGTACGTGTATTATGAAATTTCCAAGATAAAAGGAGTGTGTGCGGTGTCTAAACTGAGATTGCAGACACGGAAAATAACTGAATTTTCTAATTGTAAGTATTCAGTATTTTCTCAGGCATTTATCTGGAAAATGAAACATTAGTGCAAGCTGTATGCCTCCTTCCAAGAAACCATTTTGTAATACTTTGCTGTTAAACAACTTGTTTTATATTTCCTTGTCAGTATTTTCAGTTGAAGCCAGATTTTTATTGTTTGATAGCATCTCCGTCAGCTTGGTGTAGTGGGCAAGTTTGTCGAATTCTTTGGTCCTGGCGTGGCTGAATTATCTATTGCAGACCGTGCAACTATTAGTAACATGTGTCCAGAATACGGAGCCACGGTTGGTTTTTTCCCAGTAGACAAGAATAGCCTTGTTTACCTTCGACAGACAAGTGAGCATTCATTTAATGTTGTGTTGTAACATCCTGTTGCACTCTGTCTACTTCTTATTCATGTATTCACTGCTGTCTCATTTCCAACTCATGCTAAAAGTTGAAAAATTCAAAATTTGAAATTTTCAAACTCTCAGTTTTTTCGAGGTGTGTAGGTATGTAGAAGTGTAGCAATTTCTCCCAAAATATTATTGCACCTGATGATGGCCAAGCCTGAAACATGTTGTGCAATAGATATGTTAATTAAAGACATACAGTATGAAACAGTTGAGAGTTTTAAAAATTTTAATTTTAAAACCTCTAGTGTGAGTTGCATGTGAGACATCAGTGAATGCATGAATAAATAGCAAGTATTTCTTTATAAAAATGTTTACTAACTAGCTGTCTAGTTGGCTTCATTGTGCAAGTTCTTCCTTCCAGAGATGCGCATTTTTTTTGGCCAATCAAGAAACTCTTCAACCTCATTAACGAAAGTCCTCCATTTGACCCCCTCCTGAGCTATTTCATTGTCGTTCCCATCTTAAAATGTGTAAAGTATATCTTAATTTATCCTGCATCTGAAGTCACTGATACACATAACAGTATATATAACATGTTCCAGAAAGATAAAAAGAGGAATGGAAGATTATGTATTAATTTTTATGTTTATTCCTGAGAGTACTAATTTAAATTTGATTAATTTAGTAGCAAGAGGATCATACATGAAAGGCTGTCTGGCAAATTCCATTTAAGTATGATTTGGTGTCATGTAAAACCAACAGTACATGAATCTTAACACATTGCGGACCGGTTGTTTAAATATTTAAATCACCCTGGGGACCAGGGTTTTTAAGCCTAGCACCCTAACTTGTGCACTGTTCACTTTAAAAATTAATATAAAATCTTCTAATTAATTTTATGAACTAAAATTTTTGGAGAACACTTACCAGAGCACCTAGAAGTGCTTGCACATGTGATATCTCTGGAAACATTCCCCTTTGTGAAGAGGCATCACGCAGAATTTGCAGATGTACACAGTCCTACTCTTCTTCTTGTGGACTGCGCATGTGATCATGTTACTGGCTAAGCTAGCAAACATTCCCGAGGTCAACTATGCAGTAGTTATGATGCAACGTGGCCACACAGCGAGATATAGTGGGTTGCAACATAACGCGTCAGAAAAGGGCCAATTGGTCCTCCCGGTCCGCAACGCTATAGAAACATAGAGGGCCAATTGGCCCCTCTGGTCCTGAATGTGTTAAATAGAGCTGTTTGTTTTATCAAAAGTAACTTACTGTATGAAAAATATATGATGAAGTTTAGGTCTTATTCAGGTTTGCATCTTGCATTTCACATTATGTTTTATATTATTTGTATTTAATAAAATGCAAGGCAAAATAAAGTCTGTCTGAATATAGTGTGCTGTTTATTACCTTTGTGAAAATATAATTGTAGAATAAATGAACAATTCATGCATGCAGTCAAAACGAAGGCATCTTGTTTATTGGTATGTATTTACATTTTAATATTCAAAACTGCATCCAGAGTTTAAGTAATATTTCTCACTGTACATATTTTTTTTGGAAGGGACAGGACAGCTTTCATATTTGTCTTTTGAAAGCTAGACGTTAGACATTATTAGTAAATTTTGTATTGTAGTGTGTAGACCTGTTACTGGGTAGCAATCTTGAAACAAACAGTAAAACAGCATTCACTGCTAGGCAACATATTCTTTATAAGCAGGTATATGCAGCTTTAAACATGTCCCCATGGAATTGATTGGGGTACAATGATGAACGTTGTTTTCTTTGCAGTCCATGGCAAAATGTTATAACAGAGACAGGTTTAGATGTTAATCACTTGTCAGTTTTGAGAGTTGTAAGGGAGTCTGTGAAGAGAAGACTTAGTCGGTGCAGTTAACAGCAAAATGAGTGGAAGCTGAAGAATCTCCACTGCTAGAAGTCGTTACCAAGGAACAGCTGCTGAAGACACAGCAGACTGAAGACTATAGAGATTGGTAAAATGTGGAGATCAGCAGTATAGTCAAGATGTGTGAATGAAAGTGGTCAATAAATCCAATCGCCAATCCAAAATCCCATCTGTTTTCACACTCTATTACATGACAGTAGTTTGGTTTTGTGATTCTACATGAAGCAGCAAAATAACTTACACATTTCTATGTTTTCAGATCGAGATGAGAATAAAGTGCAACTAATGGAAGAATACCTGAAATCAGTTCGCATGTTTAGAAATTACTCAGATGCATCACAGGATCCTGTATTCTCTGAAGTGGTGACTCTTGATTTGGCAACTGTGGTGTCGTCTGTCAGTGGACCAAAGCGGCCTCATGATCGTGTCCCCGTTGTGGACATGCCTACAGATTTTCGGCAGTGCCTGATCAACAAGGTATGATGAAGAATATTTCTCTAAAGGTTTGTTAGTCTGAATTGAAGACATTAGAAAAGTAATAAAACATAACATTAAGGCACCATTGGAGAATGAACCCTTTATAGGGGAAATGATAACCTCTGTCTTTTAGTGAAGAGATGGTTAGGCAATTGGTAGCTAGAATTGAGTGATGGTTCTGCTGTTCATTTATGGATACCCTGAACTTTAGTGTTCCAGCAGGAATGGTAAGAGTCATCACAAGAAATTCATGCTGAAGATTTTGTCGTGCACAGTACACTTGTTCTCTTTGTATGAATCAGGAAATTGAAATGAAGCACCTAAAAGTATTCGGGCACGCAGTGGCATAGTTGGTTGAGGCACTATGCTACAACTTGAATTTTGCAGGTTTGATTCCCGATGATATCATTTGATTTCCTTTTCAATATACTTAACCATTAAGAGACAGGCCATTTAAATTCCGGTAGTGGCAGCGGGACGGAGTTAATTTAAATGCCCGCCATTGTAGAGTAATAAAAATTGTAATCATGTTACTCAAAATGCTGTGATTTCTACAATTTTTGTGATGAACGAAATATACGCTACTTTTATCTAGAAAGTATATAGAATCAGGTACTGTAATTTACAGATTTTAGAATCTGTAAAAATTGTTACATTAATTCAAAAAATAATTTTCCACAATTTTGAGCGTCTGTCCACAAAAATACATAAAGCTTCTGCATAAAACGTTTCTGCAGTATAAATGCATGCTGCTGACACATGGTCTTACTATGTCTTATCTCAAGGAGAGAGGATTTTTGTTTTCATTGCACACTCTCCAGTCAGTCTGCTTCTTGTATACAGGAGTGTGGGGAGTTCTTAGCCTTCTTTGTCCTTTATGAAACTCTGATTGTTTATACATGGGACTATCCACACAGAGGCACTGTTCATGGAATATTACCTCATTCCACTTGCTTCCACATCCCTTCAGAATAAACTGTAACACATTCTGAATGGTGAGATTTACGAGCGGCCTCTCAATTACGGCTTCTTCCATGCGAAATGGGGCCATGGAGCATAGTTGAAATTGTGATGTTTTATAAGCGTTACAAATACAGGAGACCACTCGCCATCACTGGCCTACTTTCTGCTAATATGAGACAGATGTTGGATGTGCGCGCTTCTCGTGGAAAACAGAGTTACATACGGACAAAGTGCATGAATTGCGACATTGGACTCTGCATTCAGTTACATGCAACATTCAGTTAGATGATGCAGGAGGGAAGACAATCTACTTATAAAGCGGGTATCCAAAAATAATGTAAGTAGAACAAGAATTTCTCTCTTAAAATTAGATTTTAAAACACTGTGCGCATGCGTGGACTGCGAGTCACCATACGGTGTCCTTCGGCCACTCGGCTTTACTTTAAAGGTCCCCATACGGTGTCCTTCAGCTCATAAAGGTTAATCCTTCCAGCCGCATTATGTCCTTGGGGTCAACTCAGCCTCTAACAGAAATGAGTACCAGGAATCTTCCTAGGGGTAAAGGGCATCTGGTGCATAAGGCTGACAACCTTGCTGCCATCTGTGAGCTGATTGTCTATATAATGTAGGAGCCTCAACGTCTCACAACCCTATGGGCCTTCACGACCTGTTAACGGGGATATCTTTACCTTCTTACAGTACACTTATGCTGGCTGGCCTTGGTGGTTTCCATAGCTTCTTTCAGCCGGGGATAGTACATGTAGTAAGCCTTTGACTGCGAAGCACTGCCATAGAACTACCTGCCACAAACACCAAGGTCGCTTAAGAGTAAATGTAGTTGGACAGAAAACCCACAGTACTTACATAGATTGCCTTAAAATGACCGCAGGTGTAAGTAACATGAAATTCTCTTCTTTTCCCTGAACAACAGTGTATCACCCTTAATGCCATCTATTAATGGAATTTTTTGTGATACTGATTTAGTCACTACCAGTATGGAACATGGTCTCTTAGTGTGATGGAGGAACATAATGTACAAATATATAAAAATATTTGGGCCTAAGAAAGATGAAGTTGATGAGCAGTTTGGGATATTAACCAACTTTACAATTTGCAAGGTAACCTAATATTGTTAGGAATGAAATGAAGGAGGTTACAGTGGGGCTGGACATGTAGGTGGAGTGGAGGAGATAAAGATTTCACAGAAAATTTAGAAGGTAAACGTGTTGAAAACGGTACCTTGGAAGATCGGAAAGGAGTTGGGAGGATAACGTGAAGATAAAACTGCAGGGAAGTCTTTTGTGATAATCTTTTGTCATGAAGATGGAGACAAGAAGTTCTTCTGAAGTGTAATGACACGAAAGACTGTAATGTAGATTTTCACTACTCCAAGAAAATTAAATCTCATATGAAGGATCCAGACTGTCTGGTGTCCAGTTGTGGCTTTTTATAGTAGCAATATTGAAGACAAATATTTATTGCACTCTTGGATTCTCTGACTAGAGTTGCCACAACTCGAGGCTAGAGTAGATGATACTAATAAAGTACATGATTACTATTCTGATATGTTGGGTTTTTGGACTTTATCCATCGTCCTGGTTTTTAAGATAACAAAAACACGACGTTTTGGAAACTGGATCTGTTTCCATCCTCAGGTGAAGGAAAACACCTATTCAGTTGGGTCCACTGGACCAGTGATTCATCCAGTGATTGAGGCTAGCTCTTTCTAACGGACCCAACTGAATAGGTGTTTTCCTTCACCTGAGGACAGAAACAGATCCAGTTTCCGAAACGTGTTTTTATTTGTTATCTTAAAAACCAGGACGATGGATAAAGTCCAAAAACCCAACATATCAGTGTGTTATACACCATCGTCAGAATCCTATAGTAACTACATGATTACTGTTTATTGAAAGTTGCCTTTGCTGCTGTGAATGCATTAAATTTATGTACATAGATGTGTTCATGTGTCATCACACAAGGAGCAACCCAATCTAATTCTGTGATGTGTTATCATATGAGATATTTTCTCCATGGTAAGAACAGTTTTAGCCCACAAATTTTTTCTTTTCAGTGAGTGGCATGAAATGTGGGGAAATAATTGTCCAGATGATGGGTGCAGTCTTCATATCACCCATGTAGAATGCTTCAGATGTAAGGGGAAAGGCTAAATCAAACAATATCTTATTGATACACCTTTGCCGTAATTGTACCAAGTTCCTCATTAGAGTAAGACAAGAATTTTATCCTTGTTTTGTCTACACATATCTTCTGCAGCGGAACATTCATCCCATGAATTCTCATACTGAACATGTAGCTTGAAACATACGAAGCATTCTTCCTGTTGATGGCTCCATTCTTCCCACCACCAAGATAGAATGCCACATATGTATACAGGCACCTGTGTGTTGTTTCTATTTTGCGTCTTCTGTTTGATACCACTTTTCTCAGAATTAATGAAGAATGCATACCAAACCTCCATTCTAGTTAGACTCCGTATGTCTTCCAGATCCCAGAAATTCTCATATTCATTGAATGGTTAGGAAAGTCTTCCTGGAGATGGTTGCTTTATTCTAATCATAAAGATAGAAGTCTGAATGAACTGATATCTTGTTCTTATGTCTTCTCCATGGCTGTTCTGTTCCTCCCCCCCTCCATTAAATAGGAATATGTACCAGATTTCAGCTCTAGTTTTAGACTCCATGCAAATTCTTAAAATTTAATGATAATGGTTTAAAAGATATGGAACAGTCTTCCCGGTGATGGTTTTATTATTCTTATCACCAAGGTAGGCTTCATATGTTCAAATTTCAATGAAGTGATGTTTTGTTTGTTTATCTTCATGATCATACAATTTTTCATTAGGAAGGAACATATCAGAATTCAGCTCTAACTTTAGACTGCACACGTCCATAAGCACTCATAATTTAATGAGTGGTTTGAAATATATGAAACAGTCTTTCTGTCAATGGTTTCGTTATTCACATCACCAAGGTAGAATGCTCCTTCATACATTGTCAGATTTTAATGACGTGACATTTTGTTTCTTTGTGGTAACTAGTTTGTCAGTAAAAAGGAACGTACCAGAAGTCGGACCTAGTTTTAAACTGTGTACTTCTGCATCCAGTGAATTTATAACTTGAATGAATGGTGTGAAACATATGAAACAAGTCTCCCTAGTTATGATTCTGTTGATCTCATCACCAAGGCAGAAAATTTTCTTTTTACTAAAAAAGAATAATTGACAGGCAATATTTAAACTCTTTTCCAAACCATATACATCTTCTATAATGGAATTCCTCTCCCACTGATTTTCATTGTGAATGACTTGAAATGTATGAAGCATTTTTCTCGGTGATGGTTCCAAATTTCCCATCACCAAAGTAAAATCCTTCCTACATATACAAGTCTGAACCAACATCTTTTTTCAGTCACCTCTTCATAAAGATGCCAGGTTTCTTCTCTTTACTAGAGAGAACTACGCAACATGTAGTGCTTGGAGTGTAGTTCCACTTGCATTCATTTTCCTCTGTAGTGGAATTTGCATCTCGCAGACTCTCTTGTTGAATGATTCTTTTTGAGCACATGAAACAGTAGTCCTAGTGATGGCTGCAGTGTTTCCATCACTAAGGTAGAATGTTGCAGACAAATGTGATTTCAGACAAAGCAGAGGTTTCTTTTTATATCTTCTCTATGATTGTATGAAATTTCTCATTACTAAAGCAGAAGATATAACATTCAAGGCTTCTACTGTAGTTCATACTGCATACAGTCTTCCATAATCGAACTTGCATCCAAAATGGACAGAGAGTCTTAATGCATGTAGTGACTTCAGCTTTTCATCACTAAGGTAGAATATTTCATATACAAGTCTGAATGAACCAGAGTCTTGTTTAAGTATTGTCTCCATGGTGGTATCCAGTATATTGTTAATAAAGAGAAGCGCTTAATATGCAAGACTTCCACTTTTAGTTCAAACCTGCATACATCAATACATCATGCTCTATAATAGAATTTGTGGCCCCACAAATTACCTAGCAAATGGTTCTCTTGAAACATAT